ACATTTTTCTTGAACATTAATCGAAATGCTCTCTTCCCCCCTTTTTTATATATATATATATATATATATATATATATATATATTTATTATTATTATTATTTTTTTTTTTTACACCTGTCTGTCATTTAAAAGGTAACTTCCCCACGGGTTCCAACAGTGACAGCTTTCTGAAAAGGCTGTCAGAGGCCTTTCACTCATACAATAATGACAGCAGCCTGTAGTTTACGGCGTCACAGCACTAAGGCCGCCTCTCTTGTCCGTCTCCAGGTCCAGCTGATAATAGAGACGTGTTAACAAAAGTCTCCAGCTCGTTCAGGGGCCTCTGTCAGCTTTTTCCTTTCTGTAGGAACCAGGAACCATTCGACAAAGAGTAGCACTAAGTCATCAGTTTCACATGGTCACACGTACATCGGTGGCTGAACATGTATGACAGGGACGTAGCTAACAGTTAATGAAGTAGTGTACCTAGGCGTTGGTACCCAATTTGTATCCTTAATTTCAATGGAGACTTTCGGGTTACTTATAGACATTATATAAAATAAATCTCTGGGGAGTGGATGGACTGAACATGTTTACATCTTTCTACTAATAGTTCATATTGTTTTTAAAATATGTTCTTAATTTTTATAGCTCTTTATAGCTGACTCACTATTTTCGACTCAAAGACATTCTGTAATAATTGCTTGTTTTGTTTTTCCGACTCATGGTCAAAAACAAACACATTAAATTAAAGGAAGAATGTGCAACATTTTTACACATAAATACAGCAGAAGTATAACCTCTGTGAATGTCTCTCTGAGTCATTACTGTCTACAATGAGTGAGAAGCATGAGTCCTGCCAGCTGTATTGTTGTTAGAGCTGTGTTTACATTATGTTTACATGGACGGGATGGCCTTGCATATAAAGCTGTTTTAGTCTAGAAAAGAAAAATAACATACTCACTGTTTATTTGGATGTCACATAAGTGTCTTTAGATCTCGATCATTCTGTGTCAATTTATGTGCACTATGAAGCTATGAGTTAACAAAAGTGTGCTAACATTAGCATGCTAACACAGCAATGCAGACCCCAGGAAATCATCTTGAGCAAAGGACAATTTTGTCCATCGCTTGCGCTAAATGGTGCGTTCTAATTGATAACTCTTCAAGTTGGAGGTGTGTCGCTGTAGGAGAGCGGAGGCTTCTGAATAGCGGAGGTGTCACCAAACAGCAGTTTGTTGTTTGTTTTGGTTTAATGATGGTGCTAAAGGGCGACATCTACTGGATTAAAAAGTCGCACATTCTTCTTTTAACTGAAACGCACAACAGATTAAAGCAGCAGATGAATAAATTGTAAGCCAGAAAATGTTTGTAGTTTTTGTCCGAAAAATAATAATGATCAAGATAGTTCCTAATTGAATAGTGGATCCCGAACAATCTCACTAATTCAAGAAAAACAAAAGAAGATTTTTAATTTTTCGTACAAAATGTTCTTGTTATTCTGAGATAAACGTAAAACAGAACTTTTTTTTTTCTCAAGTGAATGCAATATGCTTCTGTAGTTTACAGTCCCTAACAACAGTATCTGACATCACCATGCAGGAGCCGGTGAAACCAGAAGAAGGCAGAGAAATGGCCAACAGGATCAGTGCCTTCGGTTACTTGGAGTGCTCTGCAAAGACCAAGGATGGCGTGAGGGAGGTGTTTGAAATGGCCACTAGAGCGGCGCTGGAGGCCCCCAAGAAAAAGAAGAAAGGCTTTTGCACACTGCTGTGAGCTGCCCTCAAATCAAAACCAACCGACCAATAGGAGAAGAACAGAAGTGATGGAAAGGACTGACCTTCTACCAAACTACATTTTGTACTGTATGTTGCATTTCACGATAACGGTCAGGTGGTTAAATGGATTGCAAACAAGATGATTTTGTCTATATTACATTATTTGTTAGAAATTTACGTTTTCTGTCTTCACACACAGGATGTTTTCCTACTTGTTTTTCTTTATACTTGTGATGCTTTGAGGAGTTAAACATGCACATATTTGTATCCAATATTATTGTTCACAAGCAGCATTTTACTGGGCTTGTATGAAGTACTCATGATTGTCCAACAGTCCAGGTTGTCGTCTAAGTATCAACTCTGCTCATTATGCTAGCAGCCGTCATAATGGAAAATGAAAGTTTTTTTTTTTTTTTTTTAGGTTTTACACCACAGTCCATTCGTGTTGCCTGTTAGCTTAAATTTCAGCTATAGACTATTTGTCATATTGTGCCTCATTGTACACAGGAATGTTGTCATTGTGAAACCTGAGCAGACATAACTTAGGCTTTCAATGCTGATGAAAACTCTTCAAGCACAACAAATGGTTGCTTATTTTTAAGATGTTCTAATAAAGCAACAACCTTCAGTGTTGAAAAGTGAGGCCACTGCAGTTCCTCAAGTGTCCACTTGAGGCTTTCTCCAAAAGCCAAGGATTCCCTATTAGGTCCCATATTAGAAATACCAATTTCTACAGTGGAAATAAACATGTTTACAGCCTGGTACAAAACATGTTTTTGTCTCTATAACTAATTTCTTTACTGGTATAAAATGTACAAAGGGTGTTTTTTCTTATCATTGTTCTACTTTGATTTTATATTAGGAGGAAGAGTTTGAAGAGATTGTGACTGACAAGCAGGTGCATTGTAGCTCTTTGCTGAAATGCTGAAGACCCGTCTCACTCCACCTCTTGATCTGTTTCTATATCAATCAAAAGTTACGTAGAGTTAGCATTTCTAATACAGCAACCAGAATCACTTGGTATCAGAGTGCTTCTTCAGAAACCAATGGGTGACATCACTGAGGCTGTGTCCATGTTTTATACAGCTTTATATAGTTCCTATGTCTTTTTTTTTCTTTGTGATTCTGTTTCTGATAGACTTGGGTAATACCCAATATAGAGAACCAGTGTGATACAAGACTTATGTGTCATTGTTGGAAAATCACAAGCTCGATTTCTCACAAGTCTAATTCAAGTTTATGAAGTAGACCAGGATGGGTGGGTGGATCGGAACTGGCTAACAAAGACAAAACAGAACTTTGCTCAAAGGCTGTAAGGACCAACATGGAGATGACACGGCTGAAGCAGAAATCACATGAAGGCTAAGGTTTCTGTTTGTTTATTGTGAATGACGCGAGTTTGGCTTCTGCTACAGCAGAGAAGACGCTGTTGGAATCTGTTTGTGTCAGACAGGTTCGCCCGGTCTTTGAAATCACGTCTTGTTTTCGTGAATCTTCGTGAATTTTCCCGTCAGGTGACATTCTTTACATGTTTTAGAGAAGCTGGGTCATGTGTGAGGAGTTTATTTTTCACCCCGTCTGCTCTGTTGTGCCTTCTTTAGTTGCTCTCTCCCAGACCAGATGGACCAGTTGCCATATGTCAGTTGCCCGAGTGACCTTTCTGGAATGTTTAACTAATCTTGCCTCAAAAACAAGACGACGATTAGGCCTACACAAATTATGTCAAACGTTTCCTAAAATTTCAGCCATCATAAGCTACATATTGAAATAAACCCATAACTTTAGTCTCCTTTTTATTATCCTGGCACTTAAAAGAAGGTTACACCAGCTTATGTCATGTACTTCAGCATCAAGAATGAATAATGGGAAAATGACTTTTAATGTCACATATTTCCTAAATATAACTGGGAAAACATCTGTCTGCAGCCATAATATCTTTGATGTTTTATTTTAAGTTGTGTATTCATGCCAAAATAGTTTGTTTTATAAGAACTTCGGAAAGATGAAAATTTGATACATTTGTCTGACTTTATCCTGGTCTTTGTTTCTTCTCATCTTTACTTGTTGGCAAGACATATTTGGTTTTTGAAAGTAAAGAAGCCACAGATGATTCAGGTCTTGAACTGTACTTGAGCAGCTTTTAGAGGCATGTCAGAGATGTGGTTCTCCTTTGTTCACAAACATTATTAAGAGACTGGAAAAGGGCTATCTTTGCTATTCTAATTGTAAAACAAAGATGAAGAGATGAACATCAAAAGCTCCTGCAAGGAACTTTCGGTTTGTGTCAACTTTGGCGTCCCCTTGTGGACAAAGTGGTATCTCTTATCTCTCTGCTAATTTTGTCCTGTACATGTGTTAAGTGGTGCTTTTTTATCATCCTGATTTCTTTTAACAGTCAAATGTATCACTTATATATTTGCTGTTGAAAATGTTATTAAAGGCTGTTTCAGCATCATGCAGCTTTTCACTTTGTCAGATATCTACCCCGGTGCAAGAGAAGCATTGATATTAATATCACTGTACATACTCGAGATTCACCACTAAGACACAGTAGAAATGTTGTTACCTCCAATCTTTGTAAATTGAATATGATTTTATAGTTCTGGCATTTGCACATTTTTCTGGACAGCAACAAGCACAAAGACGAGAAAGCAATAAAGATATTTTACTCATTGCCTTTATAAAAGAAAAAAAAAATCACACTAGTTTCTTATATTTGCGTCTCAAAAAGCTTAAAATTGAGTAATTGTTGAGGTCAGCAGAAGTAGTCGAATAACTTTCTCTGCTGGAATCACATTAAAGTGATGAGAGTATTCCCATGATGCAGCAGAAGCTCTAGTGTTGAACATATCGCTGGGAGCATGTACAGTATAATACTGCTGTGAATGTTGAGCGAAATCAAAAGCTGTCCTTAAGATGCACTGCATGAGAAAACAACTCGTTAGCACTACACAACACAAACGTCTTTGGGAACAGCTTTTGGCACAATGTTGTGCTTTTTTTCCGGAAGAATTTCAAATAATCAAGGATTCAGATTTATATAAAAAGCTCATTGTTATGACGCTTTGTAAACAAAAAGCATCATAGTGAATGTTTGATCTGCAGTGAGCATGAACATCTTTAATAAACTATTTTTGAAACAACTCCCCTTCCTCACTCAGAACTTGTTTTACTTAATCCGATCAATTACAGTGGGTGATGATTCATCAAAGGGAAAGGTTTAAAATGAGATATGCACCACGATAAGAGTAGAAAACAGTTTATTACTCAGTCAGGCTTAAACTGCAGACTAAAAGGAATGCTATAAAGATAGGAACTTGCTAAGAGCAAACAGGAGTAAGACAAATGCAGAAGAACAACAAACTACTCCTTAGATTCTCAAACACAGAAAGTTATGAGGGTTGTGTGCAGAAATATTCCTGTTGATGAGTTTTACTGCAGCTTTATCAACAAGCTACTGCAGAGACAAATAGAAAAGTGGTCAACGAAATATTTGTTGATTCATTCTGACATCATCAAAACAGAGCACCAAAAAAATCTTTGTAACAAAATGTGCAAACTGCTTTCAAAAAAGTGAATGAAAGGAAATATTCTTCAGTCATAGATGCTCATTTTGTGTTGAAAGCCAAAAGAGAAGAAATGAAATACAGACGCTTGCTTTATATTCATATGCACTTCAATGTGTTGAAGGTTTCACTGGAATGGTTCTTTGCATCCGATGTTTCATGGAGATTTTAAAGCTCATCTTTCTGCTCGAGGGCGCTCTCCTCTGACACAGGATCTAAAAAAAACAACAACAAAAAAAAAGACAGGTTTGCAGAACATTTACTGATTGATAGCTTTGTGGATATTTGAATATATGAGAAGAGAAACAATTTGAATTGACGTTTTTCCAGCTGTTTCTGCACCTGTGTGACTGTGGGACTCACGTTCAGAATCTTCATGGATTTTCAGGCGCAACAGTTTTGCCGAAAGGTTTGCCTCTCCATCTGTTTTTTTAAAGACACATCCTCTGTATCCCCCATTCTTCACACAGAAGTCGATGAACCTGCACAAGAAAAAAAAAAGCCAACAAATTGAGCAAACATAAACAGAAAGTGTTCCAAAGTAAGACAGAAAGATACTTTGATAAAAATAATCTGGGTTATTCTGATCCCAGTAGTGGGCTGGAATCAAACATTAATACTGTATCTGTGGAACGACTGGCCCGATTAGATCAGGTCAGCCGAGTCAGTAAAGTCTTTTAAATCCTGTCTTAAGACGCATTTTTATCGTAGAGCCTTTCCTATTTTTAGTTGAATTTTACTTCTTAAAACTCCATTAAAAGAATTGTTGTGTCTTATATAGGTCTTCAAAATGAAAATGTTTGCCGTTTCTTTATTTTTGCCTTGTCTCGGTCTCGGACTGGGCAGACTCCGGATTTTAAATCAAGACCTGTCAAGACCACCACTGATCGGCTATTTTTCAACATCCTTACTGTGATTCGAAGGCAGACAGCCCTGTCTAAAACAATGTATAACTTTAATTCAATTATAGCTATATTTTTATCACCCAGTTAGGTCTGCTACCTTCCCGGTGTTACGGTCTAAGTGAGTGACACGCCCCTCTTGGTCTCATCCTGCATTGGTCTTGGTCTTGGTCTTGTCTTGTCTTGGTCTCGGGTCAGTCTTGGTCTCGGTTAGCGTGGTCTTGACTACAACACTACCTGCCTGTTTTAAGTTTGTTTTATTATTGCTCTCCCTTTAAAGGACTTTGTAACCTGATTCTTGAAAAGTGCACTATAAATAAAGGTTATTATTATTATTATCATAGCTTATTTAGCCGAGAGGATCTGTCACTTAGTGTGGATTTTGGTGCCCCTTGTGGACAAAGTATGTAAAATAAAATGTGTGACGTCTCCTTTAAAGAAGTGCTCATCCAGATGTGGTGATCCTTAAAAGTACGTGTCTGGATCATGTTGGGCCTTTCAAATGCTTCTTTGAAAAAACAGAACTAAAAGTCAGCTGGAAAAAAAATCCTGTTGGATTACTTTTAAAAAAGCCCTTAATAGTGACTTAATAGATCATGATATGACTGAGTTTGTTTTTTTGACCACTGTTATGAGCAATAATGCACTTTTTTTCTCATGTCATCAAACCCTGTCTCTTAAAACTACTACTACTCTGCTACTGACAGAATCTTCAGTAGCAGATCTTTTTTTTTGCATTTTCTGCCAACCTTGTGTCTCCCAGCGAGGCTCAAACATTGTGTTTGCTGCTAAGTCTTACCCGCTCCAGGTGGGTTCCTTGCTGAAGATCACAGGGTTTCCCACCACTATCAACAGGGACTTTGCTCTGGTGATGGCCACATTGAATCTCTGCAGAGTAGAAACATATGTTTAAAAATAAGAAAAAGGAAGAAATGAATCGTGATCTTAATAACAAAAGGACCCTTTATGTTATACTCTCAGTTTGCTGAGAGGTAAGACAAATTAACAGACCTTATCATTGGCCAGAAATCCAATGTTGTAGTCTTTGTCCATCTTGACATAGCTGTTGCTGCTGCGGACAGTCGAGACCATGATGATCTTCCTCTCCTGTCCCTGAAACTCCTCCACACACCCCACCTGACACCAAGAGGAGAAAAGCCTTTATAACACGTGTGCATGGAAGGAAACAAGAAATATTTTCCTTTCTTTGCATTTGTTCTGAGCAGAAGGGACTCAAAAAATGAGCACCATTGTATTTATTTACGATTAACTCATAAACAGGGATGTGTTAACAGATTGTTTCAAACCTTGAGCTCTCGGAGATCACCCAACTCACGGAGATTTGAGTCGGACTTCAGCGCCTTTTGGATTTTCTCCACCTGCCAGAAGGGCGAGCGTATTAGCAGTGACGAGTGCAAACTGTTTACACACATTTCATAAACATAATCATGCACACTCACTTGCTTCCTGTAGGGGGCGATAATGCCAATGTCTTTTGCAGAGAGTTTAGGGAGACCGTTCTTTCCCTGTGTGTCGATCAGTTTGTGGAGGTAGTCCTTCAGAGTGTTGATCTCAAACTCATTGAAGAAAGATGGACTGTTGCCCTCTCTTTGGTCTTTCCCCATCACCCCGTGGTAGATCACCGGGAAACCCTGTAGCCAGGTGAGAAAGTGCGGTTAGACCAAGAGCAGTGTTGGACTTGTTTTAAAAGTGCTGATAATCTCACTTTGATATAGTGCTCTGCAGATAACTACCCATGTAAGGAGACGTAAATGAGTGTGCAATGTAGTATACAGCCTGTATTTTTGTTTGCACTAAATCCTGTTTATGTTTTGCTGTTGAATGAATCTCTGCTCACTTCTGATTCTTCTCTCCCAAAAGAAGGATTCCTCTTTAAACCACCAATCAAAGACTTTTCCAATTTCTCCTGGAGAGTGAAGAGTTTTCAATTATTTAAGTTTTGCCCCACTTTGTTTCTTAATGAGATTTTTTTCCCCATTATAAAATCTAATTTGCTAGTTCTGATTTTTTTGACCGTGTTTCTTGAAGCAGGACCCACTTCATTAATAACACAATGATATTGATCACTTCATACACCGACTGTAATTAAAGGGACACTCGTGCAGATACGCAGGAAACTATTGTAAAGTCTGCCCACACTTCAGAGAGAGAATAACAGATAAAGTCAGTCATTATCAGTGAAGATGAGGCAGAGTTATCCCGACCTAATGTTTGACATGTAGAGAAGTTGCATAGAAAATGTTTGAAAAGTTTTGTTAAGAACTACAGTATGTCAAGGCTCAATTAAACCAGGAAGTTAGCCGTCGCTCCTTGAGGCTAAATTGTTGTCAGACGTTAGAAGACGGGTCCTGAGATTGTGTTTAAGCTAACATTACTCGTGGCTAACACATTTAATTGATATGTAAAAAAGAATGTCGTTTTAAGGATGTATGAATTAACTTAAGTCCATGAGATAGAAGTTCAGTCCCTGATCAGGTAACCATGGTCAGATATAGTTCTCAGACTGGTTGTGAATCAGGATGATTCCTGGAATGACATCTTTCAGGAGCATTACCAAATTTAAAAAAACAAAAGGTTGTTGCAGCCTGACCTTTTTGGTAAATGTATCACAGCCGCAGTAAGCCTCTCGCTCAGAACGGTCAGCATACACCTGCAGTTCATTATCATAGAACTTCTCATTGGGGATTTTCAGAATGTCAGGATGGGACCTAGGATGGGAAAGATGGAGAGCTTTTATGAGCCTTAATCAAAACAGGACAAGTCCAAACAGGCCAATTTAAAAAAGTCAATATGAAGGTGAGAAACTGAAGCATAAACCTGTAGTTTCGCAGGAGTTTGGTCATGAAGCGGGGGTCAAACTGTCCAGAGTCACTCTTGTATAAATCATTCTGTGTCATCAGTCTCTCGAGCAGAGAAATTCCTGGAGAACACCGTTGAATCATATTTATATCATATATTTATATCACATTTAAATCCCTGAATCATGTTGTTGAGAGCATCAAATCCATGAACATATACTAATGTAATCCCTCCCGTCTCACCGAGTCCATGATTCAGAGCCAGACGGGAGTGAATTATCGGCCCCAGCTGCTTGGGGTCTCCTGCCAGTACCAGCTGACCCGTCTTTGCAGAAAGCAGACCTGTGACACAAAGTGATCATTCAACCAATCAGAAAGAAGTTTGTAAGTTTCAACATTCCTTAACACATTTTTTTTTTTTTAAATTAGAGGATCGTCTTGAATGAAGCATTTTTGTTGTGTAAGATCATGTTATTTGGCTTCAAGTCATATAGTCTCCATCTCTGAGGAGTGCTGCATGGAGTGAGGAGGCAGCCATCCTTACTTTCTGCAGACATGATTTGCAAGAACAGCTTAGAATGAACAGAGCTGCAATTGTTGGAGATTTTTTTTTTTCCCTAAACATTTCTCCTTCAGATCAGGTTCTGAACAATGAGCAGAGACAAATCTGTTCAGTGTTTCAGAGTCCTGCTGGACAAACCCTCCTCCATCATGAGACATTATGCTAATCAAAGTATCCTTACAAGATGAATTCAATAAAAACACTTTGGTTGAAAGTAACATTGTATTTGAGTGTAAAATAGAAGAGGAAAAATGGGTTAAAGTTCAATGCTCGCTTACTTGTAACAAACTACAAAAAGATCTGAAACTTAATGAGCTGCTCTCATTGGATGCTTTTAAGATGATTTCAAATAACTTGGCTGCAGGTCAATCTGGCTGTAAATGTTCTGTCTCATAATAATATGAATGTTGGGTTGATTTCCACAAACACAAACTGGTTTCACTTGTTTTTTGTGACTTTATTTAGAGACAGGACAGTGGATAAAACCAGAAACCAGGAAAGGAGCCACAGGCAGGACCTGAACCTGGGCCGCCCTCCCCGAGAATCACAGCCTCCTTACATGGGTCACATGCACCAACCACAGCGCCACCAGCGCCACAAAGTCATGTATCTTGTATAATTCTTGAATGTACTCCTACTATTGTTTGTCAGAAGATTGTTTTATTTCAATAAGCTTTTCCTGGTTAAATGAAAATAAAATAAAACAGTGTAATATTAAGACATTACATTTTCTTTACATTAGATTATGATGCAAAAACGGATCATCCTTCAGATCCGATAAAAAGAAGACCTGATGTAAGATGGATACAAAAATGTTTTCACTCATCAAAAAGGGAACAGAATGTGAGACTTTGCAGGATGTGTCTTCAGGTTTTCAACCAAACAACAGACTCACTGAAGTAATAACATGTTCTACATTTACCTGCAACAGCAATGATGCACTGCGGCTCTTCTGCCTGGCCTGCCTCATCCAAGAACACGTGAGTGAAATGGCCAACTGGGACTCCTGTAGTCACCAGTCTAAAAACCAGTAAGACAACAGCACACATTGGACAAAAGCAACATGCGTGTGAACTCTGTGTAGCACTAATGAATGATGCCAAAGAGTCAATTAGTGCCAAATACTTCATTATTACTTCACCTGTAAGCAACCTACCTGCCAGCTGTGAACATGGTCGTAACTATGACTCTGAATTCCATCAGAAAAGATTCATCCGGAAACACGTAATCATGTTGAGCCGGGTCCCAGTTGCAGTGTTTCTTGGAGAGAGATAAAAGATAAAATTACATGTAAGTAAAATCAAGTGGATCTACTGCTGTCGTTCTGGAAAAGTGTAAAAACAGAATGAAACATTATCTACCTATCCATCCTTAAATGAAAGTACGTCTATCTTAGTCTTTTATGTTATACTTGAAGGTCATTTTTCAGCAATGATCCCAATGTTTACTATCAGAGAACTGTTCCGATGTAAACAAACTTTTTTAAAGGGTTACTTTGGGGCTTTTTATGCCTTAATTGGAGAGGGAAAGGAGCCACAGGTCGGATTCGCATTTGACTCGTAGATTTTGATCACTATGTTAAGGTATCTTCTCAGTGAGTGCTGCTACTGGATTGAGTCAGTAGCCCTTTTACAGACTGATTTTTTTGCACGTCTTTGTAATGAGAACGATGCCAGGAAAAGAGAAATGTGCATTCTTTCTATCTAAGTAGAAAGTCTAACCGTAACAGGTCCTGACCAGGGTAACTTTTCACTGTAAGTAACCAGTTAAGACCAGCTGTGTGACCAGACATACTTAGATTCCTCCTTAATCTGATTTGAAAGTACACCCCTCAAGTCACACATTTAGTATATTTAATAAATACTGGCTTTAGCCGCACTGAACAGCAGGACATCATAACCTGTGATTTGATCTGCTTTGTGGCCGGTATCCAGATGTTTCTGTGGATGCCAAACTGCCAGCTGAATCTCACCTGTAGTTGTTCCGGGATAGTTCTGGGGTCATGGTTCTTGGCGTACAGACGGTAAACCTGACGATGAGCCATATGGACCATCAGTCTCTCACAGAGGAGGTCACACGCGTTGTTTGAAGGGGCACAGGCGAGGATGTGGGCTGACGAGTCCTTCTTGCTGACCTGCAAACGTAGGTAAGGTATCAGTTCAAACATTTGAGAACACGTTTCGTTTGCTCATAGGCAATGACCAAAAGCAAGTACAGCCTGAGGTGAAGAGAGCATCATAAGAAGGCAATATTGGTGATGAGTTTATTGCCAAAAGGATGTATAAAACAATATTTATGCGTGATGTTGAGACAGTGATATGAAAAACACACGCATTAGCCTTGTCTGGTGGATGAATTAATGATTTCATTTGGACAATTTCTGCGTCTGTTTTCAGTTTTTTTTCCAATGATGCTTCTCACCAGAAAGCTGGTTCCTCGAACTACAGAATAACAGCATGACTTGTTGAACACTGAGTACCTGATTCATGGCTTCCACCAGCGTGATTGTCTTTCCAGTTCCAGGAGGTCCAAACACGAGGTAAGGAGCAGGCTTTGATGACCCGGCTACGATGTGCTGGACTGCAGAAGATTGCTGCGGGTTGTTTTCCAGCTGACGATTGAACATCCTGGAGGCGGGAATTGGTTTTTAAACTTGGCACACATATGAAACCAGAGGCTCAAAAAAAGGAACAATCAATTGGAAAAAAAAATCAATAATCAAAGCTTGTAATTGGCAACCTCCTTTGTTTGTGTGCAATAGGAGGGGTGAAATAGTGTTTCTGGGTGGATTATGATACATTTTGTCTGGTATGTGTTCGAGGAAACAAGGCTTTGCATAAAAGTCCTCAGGCAGCATGGCACCATGTTTAAGCATAGTCATTTTTTTTTTTTTTTTTTTAGATTTAATTTTTGGACTTTTTGTGCCTTTATTGGAGAGATAGGACAGTGGATAGAGTCGGAAATTAGGAAGTGAGAGAGTGGGGAATGACATGCGGAAAAGGAGCCACAGGCTGGATTTGAACCTGGGCCGCCCTCTTGGAGGACTATAGCCTCCATACATGGGGCACGCACTAACCACTGCGCCACCAGCGCCCCAAGGATATTCACCTTTGAGCATAAAAACAAAGAACCCCCCCCCCCTTCTTACAACAACATGGGGGATTTGTTCCTAGAGAGAACTGCAGTGAAGGTTGAAGGCCCCTTACACTCATAGTAAACCGTTTTCACTCGCTGAAGACTTCTTTGAGCAATAAGTGCACAACGTACAGCCCTTCAGGTTTGTGTGTTTTCAGATGATACAACATTTATAGGTGTTGTGTGTTCTATAAGCCTGTGTCTTTTATGTGTGTAAGCAACAGACCTGAGTTTAGGCAGGGAGCGTTCAGCTGCTGCTGCTCCAGACGGGAACAGCACCTTTTTGAGGAGATGTTGGTCTGCAAAGTCCACGGCACGATGCTGCAACTGCAAGGTCAACCGGATGAACTTAAACTCCACGTTGAACTTCATGTCGCTTCTAAAAATCAGCAGGAACCTGAAAAAGAAAAGAGGAAAAAGGAGTGAAAGGGGGCTTTTCAGTTCTTCATTCACCATCTGAGATATGACAAATGCGTAACTGAGGGTGTCCTCCTGATATGATATGGGATCTCATCCCACATAACCTTTGTGCATATCTTTACCTCTTAGGGAAGTCCAACGTCACGCTGTCCAGTTCTATTTTGAGCACCTTTCCTTGGTATTTGGTGATCGGCTGGACCGTGTCGTCAGAGTTAGACACCATTATAATATCTCCTTTTAGTACAGACGGTCGATTCTGAGCAACACCGGGAACCTGTGGGAGAGTATCATCATTTCTTATTCCCCTATACAGATCAGCTTTCAGAAGAGAACAACTTAGAAAAAATGATGTGAGGAGCCTTACACAGAGTTTGAACAGCTGTTTGTTGCTTTTGTCTTGAGTCATGGTTTGATCGAAGAGGTCATACTTCCTGCTATCCACCTCCTTCTTTATCTCTTCCAGGTGCAGCAGGCAATGGAATAGACGAGAGTATGTCTTCGTGTTTAGACCAGAGGTGAGAAGACGGCTAAAAATATAGTAAAAACACAAACACACAAAGACACACACACATTAGGAGCCATCAGACAGACATTATGATGATAGAGCTGAGCCAAGTAAAAAACAAACTGATATAAGGTAAGTTAGCCATGAAGAATTTGGCCGTCCTCTCACTTCACTAATGGGAGATTCCTCCTGGCATCGTAGGAGAGATTCTTTGTGTACTTCATCCTTCGTTTAGCCAGTTCCTTAAGGTAAGGTGGGCATCTGTATTCTCTTAATTTCACTACCATCTTGGGAGCCCGTCCAACAGAACTGAGGCAAGGAACAGAAAAAAAACACATCTCAATTTTTCATTGTAACCATTATAGGCTGATTGATCGATTAACTTGAACCAGTCAAACGGTTGAGCAATCTGATTTAGATTCAGAGGTATTCACAGCGGCTATACCCGGAAGTGCCTCAGACAGTCGAGACAGAGGGATCGGTCAGGTTTCTGAAACATTACCGCAGTGCGCGGGAGTTTACCTTTAAGTTGGCCTGCATTTCTTTGGCAATTATAAACAAGACATTTGCCAAAACTGGGTGCCTGGGACTTTCATTGTCGTTACTGTGGAAGTGAAACGGGCGTCAATGTTTCATTTTAACTAGACTTGTTTCGAACTCATCATCGCCTCTCCCTCCATCCTACCCTCAAATCAAATGCTCAAATTACCCCTGAAACATAATCATTACACAAACTCTCACCTCTCAAACCACAACATTGATCAAACATCAACATATTCAACACATGAAATACACACTGCTCAACTCTCTTCTCCCTCTCAAGTCCCCCTTACAAAGCTCCATCTCTCCCTCTCCTTCTCTCTATCGCTTCTTGTATCCTTTCTTAGGTATTTTGTATAGTTTTGTAATGTCTTTGCTGGTTTTAGTCAGATGTGTGTCTGTTGATGTCTCAGTATTTTGCTGTCTTTATTTTTTTTAATTGTATTTTGTCGTTGCTGTCATGACCTTGTCTTTTTTTTTTCGTGTGCCTTATTTGTCATGTATATGTCACCAGTTTGTCACGCTATTGCACCTAATAATTTTTATTTTTTTAAAATCTGTCATCATGACTCAAGTAATCGTTAACATACCCAGTTAAGTGTCCCTGATCAGTTCTCTTCCCGCCTTGAGTGTCTCAGGTTTTTGAGTTGTCTGAACCGACCTCGAGCGGTGACAGTCTGCTGCTTACATCACATTCTGGTGATGTTACAAGGCATATGCTAATGTTTGCTTCCTGTCTCACTTCCTCTTCAGACACAGAGCACTACTGGAAAGTCCCCTCAGTGTCTGGATCCGGGCCCTTGGGACCATCACATCCTGACTTGGCCCTATCTTTGATGAGCTTGTCTGTTCCTACCAGCTTCTTTTAGCCTTTAGGGTAGCCTGTTTTCAACAGTGCTGCACCTTAACAATAGCCATTTTAGCAGCCCAGGTGAGTCAGACAGACAAATGCAAGCTTTGTAAATCTGACACATGATGCTCCTCAGCTAATCAAATCAAACTTTTTTAGCTTTTTTACGACTGAGTGAGTGTGTAAGATCCAGGGATCTGATAGGCAAAGGACAAAGATGTAGGAAAATACTGTGCCTACAGGTTAAGTTTATAGAAAATATTCTGTCTTCAGAAACAATTTGTTGGTTAAAACCATGAAATAATCAAAAACTTCAACAATCAATTAATGGGGGTCTGGGGGTCACCCTTTTTTTTTAATCTCTTTGTTTTAATTTGCACACAATGATAAATGAATGAATCTGAATACATGAACAAACACGTTTACCACAAGTGATTGTGTTTCTGTACGATTTTAGCCCTGCAGCATCTCTATAGCTGTAGTTAAAAGGTAAATGGTGAACGGACTTGAGCTTGTATAGCGCTTTTCTAGTTTAACACACAAGCCAAAGCCTACTTCTCTGAAATAACTGGTGACATGTGAGAGTGGGATTAAAGATCATCATTACCCACACCTGCTGGCTCGGGGTGTGTTTTCCTGAATATTTCCTGCTCTGTTCACACATGGGTTCACTCCAATTTTACTAAGGGGCTGGCAGGAACAAAGTCCGGGTAAAGTCGGGGCAGTTTGAGTTAACACATGCAGCTCAACCAGATTTCTTTTTTAAGATACATACCAGGGGTTTTGTGCTTGAAACAACAATACTGATTTATTGTGCTAGTAGCAGCCGATGTAGCACCCAGCCGCTAGCTTCAAGTAAAGTTTAAAATCAGGCTACTTACTTGCACCCACTCTGAATTCATAAGACATCGCACAGCTACCCTACCACAAAACGACTTTATAAATCCTGTGTAAAATCTCTGGATTGTCCTCTTTTATACATTGCATAAAGGTGCATTTCTATTAGGAGTTTCTGAACGGTTTAAAGTTAGTTTTTAATCACTTACCTCTCGGGGGGAACTGGGTACATGACCATAGTTTCTATAGGCTTGTATGTGACCGCTTGAATTGCTTTGTAAGGAGCCTCAGGTCCCAGCTCGACAGCCAGTTGGGTCCTCCTGGCAAACGCCTCTATATCTCTCACGATGCAGAACGGTACAGACTTTTGAAGCTCTGGGCAGAACTCAAAGTACATCGTGGTGGGGTAATATCCATAGTGTTCAGGTGTGTATCGAACATCCACTTCATAACTTTCATCTGCAACAGGAATGCAGAAGAGAGTGCAGGAGATTAACTTTTTAGTGTGTTTTTTTTGCTCTGTAAAAATAGAGGTGTGTTAGTTGTGTTACCAGGACAGAGGAAGACTGGACAGGCTCGAGTCACTTTCCTCTCGTCCCTCAGAGTGAAACAGTGGATCTTGTGCAGGGCAGTGTAGAAAGTGAAGTTGATGCAGTTTGTGCCCTTGTTAAGGATTTTGAACGTGACAGTGAAAGACTCCCCCAAACGGTCCACAGTGAACGTGACCTTTCCTCCACTTGCAGCAGGGTCTGAAGTGATCTGGATGCCCCCCTTGTCAGCTGTCAACTCTTCCCTGTAAGAGAGCCAACATCAGGTGAGAGAGTTTACTACTGTATGTAATGTACAACCCTACATATAGAGCTCAGTGTTACCCCTCAGGTTTATCTGTTAGGGGAGGTGGCCTGGTTTGCTTTTGTAGTTCATATAGAGATTTCAGTATTAATTTTGGTCCGGTTCAAAACCAGGTAAAAACTCCACACAGGCGCTTTAAACCAGAACAATAACTGGGTTTTTAAAATTACAAGCCGCAGTTGCATTACTTCAGGCCTATAATGGAACAGTGGAATGACAACAGAAGATGTGTGACCATGAAGTTGTAGGAGATTGAAAGTATTTTGAGACAAAACATTTATGCACTGTATCCTGAGGGAAGTATACTCTGAGAATGAAGGCAGTCACCGGGTTAACAGAGCAGCCTCAGAGCACTGTGCTTTAGGAAAAACCTCCTAATAAACCCAAGTACTGTATGCACAAAACGCCATGGTTGCTATCAGAAATAAAAATACGGCTTTACAAAGTAGTTTTGTGAAAAATGTGCAACTAGTTGTCACTATTAGATGCAGTTGCAGCAGATGTAATCGTGTTAACAGTATAATTATTTTTAGCTGTGGTTGATGACCGACTCAGTAATTCTTTACCTAACTGCTTACAAGTGAGACAACGTTTTATGTCATTCTATGTCTATCAAGTTTATAATCGTTTACAATTGTATAGAAATCTAAAAATACTGCTGTGCAGAAAACGTTGGTTAGCTCTGGACAAATGTTGTCTCATCCTCTCAATAAGGTCTGTACATTTAGTCCTGGGAATGTGAGGAAACATTTTTGGTAACTGTTGGAGCGGACCAAGGTTGTTAGCATGGAGGAGGAAGCAAAATGTCACACTGCCTTTCTGTGAACAGAAACAGATAAGGATGTTATTGCAGCCTTGACCTGAGTGGAAAGACCAAATCAAACCCGCTTTTTTAAGACTCTTTGGAATCCCTTACAAACAGACCTGAAAGTGTTTAGACTGCCGGTTACACTCCTGTTCAGAATTTCAGAGGCAAACTTTGGATCAAAATATAACAGAGGCTCTATAGTTTTCTTTTTTCATTTGTGTTGACAAGTTTAAGAAAAAGTTCATACTCAACAAAACGAACCTGTTAACCTTTAACTTGTTAAGGATTTTCTTAAGCTTATCCTCTGTGGTCAGAACAGGGTTCAGGGGGGATGAGGGGCTAGAGGAGGCTGCAGGTGTCTTGCCTGTCTTATTGGGGCTGAGGCCGAGGCTGTGTGGAGGCTGAGGGTCCCGGGTCCTCCTCCACTGGGGACTGTACCTTCGAACCTACAGTAGTGGTTAAAACACTTTTTTTTTTTAATAATAACTAACAGGTATACAAATCACAAATAGAAACACAACAAGTACAACTAAAACCACATCAGCAGTCAGAGATAATACTGTTAATTGTTAGCTGAAATATTAAATAAGATCAGGTTATATAATATTAAAAGATTATCTTTATAATAGCCTGTCTGTAAAAGTGTGTTTTAAGGTTTTTTTTTGAAGGATGAAACTTAATGTGCTTGCCTAATTTTCCATTTTACTGAACACCAAACATGTCCAGACCTAGGTCCAGACTTGTTCCCTGATAGGAGACAGCGCTCATCTTACCTCTGGTTTGACGTCGATGTAGACGAGCCCCTGCTTTAAGTAGACCTTTTTGACTTTCACAAGAGCATCGAGAACCTTTGAAAACTCGGGGTCCTTTATTCCTTCTCTGTCAACAGAAACACACAAGGTGGTGTACTTGGATTGTACACAGGAGGGTCCAACACCTGTTAATGTCACACGCTTGTTTCTTGTCAGCCTACCTGGGCTTAAATTCCAGGTTGTAGATGTCCCGAAGATCCTGTTTGCTTCTGCTGTTGAATTGTCTGTCCCCCAAGAATTCAATGAAGTCGACTCCGGACCGAAGACAGTCCGAGGTCGACATGTTGCCTTTTTACAGCCCGCTGCTGACTGACTGACTGACTGACTGACTGACTGTGCACTGTGAAAAGTTTAATGGCTCATCAACTCATCTTGATGCAACAGTGAGAACATTTTAACATGCGACGTTTTATGTGTGACTTGTGCATTTACATATAACTTTAAGGCAATGGAAGTCAAACTTTTTAAGTAGAAAGGGTAACAGCCATGGACTGAAACTAAGGCGACCCCCCCCCCCTTTCACACTTTGCAGAGGAAAGCCAGAAACATCATAAATCTCAGAGGAGGAGAAATGCATTGAAGACTTCTTTGAAGAATATTGAACAGGGTAAACCACTGACAGAGGAAGACAGAGGAAGTCACCCTGCAGACAGAGATGACCCCTTAATGTGGCCCCCTCCCTCTATATCAGATCCCAGATAAACTGGTGTGCTCCATGCATCTTCCGTCTGCTTCATCTTCTCTTCTTTTGTCTGTGTTCTTGTCTTTTTATTATTTTGTAACTCCTTAAGTTTTGCATTTGTGACTTTTATTCATGCAGATTTTCTGAGACATATTTTTTTCACTGCTCAAACACCTTTGAACTAGTGGTGGGCGATATAACGATCTTAGATCGTGAAGGATTTGAACTTGCTGACGATCTGCCAAAACAGGGAGATCGTAGAACCGGGCTAATGTGTTTATTCTATCATGCTGCAGTTTATGCTCTTACACAGACTCGTCTCACCCTCCTTTTTTGCTCCGCAGCGGTGAAAACGAAACTTAAAAGTAAAGTCTGCAAAAACAACTCCATCCCGGTTATATGCAAATATGCGAGTTCTAATTCAGTTTTGACATTAGCATTTGGCATAAATTATTAATAAATCTAATATTTTGCGCACTTTAGCTCAGCCTTTGAAAGCGCTCGGATGGTTTTTCATCAAGATAAGGGAGTGACTGCAAGTGTTTGCGACACCCAGAAAACGATAACATCTCAGCGTCAAACAAACTGAAGTCGTCAGAACTGTCGCGTTTGATGCGAAGTCAATTATATTTACATATCTTTCAGAGTATAAGTGAAAATTAAATGTCACTTATACTTATCACTGAAACCCTCGCAACTAAAACATTTTTAGTTTGCACCCTGGTATAAAGAGAGAAATAAATAGCCTAATTCTCAATTCACAAAATCACGAAGGGACAATTTGTCTCCCAGGCAAGAAATACCTAATACATAATTGTCGGGATCAATCATTTCAACCAATGATCTTCAGTCAGGTCCTGCCCCTCTACAGTCTTCCTACTATTACATACTGACACAAAACAACTTAAGTTGCAAATGGAAAGAATTGAGAGGGAGGAAGGCTCATAATCACCAGAGAGAGATGAGTTCCTGTCTGAGACCAGCTCCTCTTAAAAAGTTTGAAGAATAGTCAGAGAAATAAAAAAAAACAAAGATTTTGTCCACACTTGTATGTAAATGTGCCTATAATGTTCCACTATTGTGGTGATTCCTTCAGAGGGGTTGTACTCACCTTGGTAGGGTTTTGCCAAGCTACTTTCCGATGAGTGTCAAGTCTTTCCTTTCTGGAGCAGGTTGTAATTTCCACCTCTTAAGCTAGGAGAGAAGAACTCCAGTCTGATGCTATTGTGTTATTTATGCTGTGAGCATTGGATTGGGGTGTTACGATGGGTTTCAGCACCCTCCCACAGTTCCTTATGCTGTATATCTTAATCTGCATGGCATGGGGGGTGTCTGTGTTGGGGATTTGCAGCTGCAAAATGTTTAAGGATGTACTAATACTCATGTCAATGGAAAATCTCCAGACTTCCTACCGTGACCAAAGGGATTTTTTTTGTATGACTAAACTCTAGAGTCTAAAGATTTACAATGTGTACCCAACTATGAAAAGGAAAAAAGTCAGAATTCTCAAATTCCCAATAATGAGAAGGGAAGATCTGGTTCACAGGCTTAAACAAATGTAATACATAAAGTAAAAGGAAAAACCAATACAACGCCACTTCTTGCAGATCATAGTTTTATTTCATGAATAATAAATGTACTTACAGTTTGTATAAAAAATATAGCAAAAGCTAAAGGTAAACAGCTGTCAGGACAACACCGATACTTATCAGTCCAGGGGCAGATATACTGTGGAGAGGTTATCACTGGAAGTGTCTCTCTACATCAGAGAGAAGCAAGAAAACTTTACCTTAAGAGGGAAGACTAAATATTTTTGAGTGAATAAGAAAAGAAATATTTATGCTTTGGCATGTCCGCTGGTGAAAATCCAGCGTCCAGAGGGATGCATAAATCTTTAAAATAAAATAAAAATGGCTGAGTTTGGAGCTGTAACATCTTTCCAGTCAGTCCACATTAAATTGCATCCTCCCCCCCCCCCCGGTTAATAAAAAATGATAAAGGTAATGGAAGCTCTAAAAGAATATCAGTTATTTTATATGGAGATAGTAAGTTAGTTGCTACAAGACAGTCAAGGTTTTGGAGAATTTGTGTTCATTAGAAGCACTCAGGGGTCAGAAACTGTTAATAACATGTGAATAACAGGTCATGACCCTGACCTTCACAGAGCCACAAAAGGCGAATATTTGTTAGAAAATTATATGTTTGCATACAAGCGAAACATTACACCGACCAATGTCTTTCAAAATGAACAAAGAAGCTCTCTCTCTCTCTCTCTGGAAAATAACCCAAACAAATGTCTCTCTATTTTTTTCTTTTTTTTAAGACATACAATACTTTATGTTCCACCACACATGTCTGCGTGAGCTTCAGCGTCTTTTTTCTTTTTTTTGCATTTGTCATAAACTTTAAAACGACTGCCTTCTAAGAACCCTGCATCTCTTTGCCGATCTTGTAGCTGAGGATCTTGTTCCAGTCGACCTTGGTGCGGGTGACCGGGAGCTGTCTGCGTAAGGCCTTGAACGTGGTGTCTGACATGGTCTGATAGTTCTCACTGATGGCCACCTGAAACACAAGGTAAACTACGTCAGTCATGCTGTCAACCTAAGAGCGAGTTTCAGCGAGATACCATCTGTCAGAGCTAGTTAACTGAGAATATTCAGAGGGTAAATAGCTTGTGAGACAATTAATCCTTCGGTATTGTACTCTCAGTGATGATTGTAGCATAGACATAGAAAAATAAAGCCGAACATGTCCTGCGGGCGCATGCTGAATCAGCATCAGTTGAAGGCCAAATCCCCCAAACCCCTTTTCATCATGGGGTTACCAAAAGTGAACCCTTTCAAAAGGGCTCTTCTCTCGTGCCATGATTGACTTCAGTTGTATATGTGACACAATAACACTATCCAGACAAGAACTTTGGTTCCACAGCACATTAAAAGGAGATGCTTCGAGCTGATAGGACATTTACAACAGGATGCAACAACAGACCATAACCTGGGTCAGTTCTTGGAGGTAACAGCCATGGACTGAAACTAAGGCGACCCCTCCCCCTTTCACACTTTGCAGAGGAAAGCCAGAAACATCATAAATCTCAGAGGAGGAGAAATGCATTAAAGACTTTGAAGAATATTGAACAGGGTAAACTACTGATGAAATCTTTAAGTAATGCCTCGTATGTTTATCATCTTTTGTTTCTTCATACATTGATCCAACCAACGACTCTGAAGCCATACTGCCATCCAAAGCCTGCTGCCTATGTTTGACTTGGTTGGTTATACAGCTGTGATTTCAATGAACAATGCTGGAAATGAACTTCTGAAGAGTCATTTTGTTTGGAACTTTAGAGAACTTAGGATAATGTTTTATTCACTTTGGTTCACCCTATAATGAATGCACTACAATGATGTGTTTTTATATGGTTATGCTAAAGTGAAATGTTGTGTCTCTTCATGTTTATCATTGCTAATTAGACAGTTTGATAGTGGTGAAGAAATGTGACTGTATGCGACAACACAACTGGATTGATTGGAAATACCATGAGACAAAGTTAGAACATATAGACAGATAAGTAGAAGACAGAGGAAGTCACCCTGCAGACAGAGATGACCCCTTAATGTGGCCCCCTCCCTCTATATCAGATCCCAGATAAACTGGTGTGCTCCATGCATCTTCCGTCTGCTTCATCTTCTCTTCTTTTGTCTGTGTTCTTGTCTTTTTATTATTTTGTAACTCCTTAAGTTTTGCATTTGTGACTTTTATTCATGCAGATTTTCTGAGACATATTTTTTTCACTGCTCAAACACCTTTGAACTAGTGGTGGGCGATATAACGATCTTAGATCGTGAAGGATTTTAACTTGCTGACGATCTGCCAAAACAGGGAGATCGTAGAACCGGGCTAATGTGTTTATTCTATCATGCTGCAGTTTATGCTCTTACACAGACTCGTCTCACACTCCTTTTTTGCTCCGCAGCGGTGAAAACGAAACTTAAAAGTAAAGTCTGCAAAAACAACTCCATCCCGGTTATATGCAAATGTTCTGATATTTTCTCAAACCGACACGGCGTGGGCAACAGTTAACTTATCTGCATAGTTTGCACAGTTAAATTCAGAAATTGCTATCAAAAATCTCAGATAGCGACAAAAGAAACCATTAAACGAGCCGGAAAGACGTTAACAGAGAGTCAGACAGATTTGACAGATTGTTTAAAATATTGCTGTCTGTGTTTTCTGCTCTCTCTCAGTTTTTAAAAGTTACTATCAAGCCTCTCCACCAGAAACTCACCTGTTGTGATAACTGAATTTACAGGGATTACACTAAACAACGTTACAAAGCAGCAGGCAGGTGAGGGTGAGTAACCATGGTGACTGTCTGTCTATAAATCAACAATGTCCCGCCCCCTCTATGAATTAAACTGTTCTGTCAGTAAAGCTTACTTTGATCATGTGTCACAGAATGAACACATCCTGTATTATGTTTGATTATATATAAACTAAACTAAAGTTAGTCCAATGATGCCATAAAAATCAACAAAGGCTGCAGAGCCTGTATGAAGCTCCAGCTGTAGGAACTCTGCAGGTCTAAATAGAACAGAAACACAAGAACTCGAAGTCTACATGTTTTTAAATGAATGCATCACTGCGTGAAAATGTTCCTGATGAACATAAAAAGAGGACACATAACCAACTCCGAATTTCAAAGTGGTGAGGAAAACCTTCAAATTGTGCATAAATATTGATCAAATTGAGCCAGTGTATGGGCCCTCCTCCGTCTGCTGTCTTTGCACTACACCTACGGGATGTGTGTATAAGTACCTCCTTTTTTCAATGATAGTTTAGTTCTTACATAAATTCAGATTTTTGTCTACATAAGTTTTTATTGTTTTTATATTGTTTAAAACAATGCATAAAAAAACCCTACATACCTGGTAATCATTTTCTGCATTCTCGATTATTTTCACAAATTCCTTTGCAGTCTGGTTCTCATTCTGCCAAAAAAAAAAACATTTGTAGGTGAGTCAAACTAATAAAATAAATTAAACACACCTCAACATATATCATATTTTAAATACCTCAATAAGTCCTGACATTTATTTTCTATTTGCTTCTGAATTACTAAAAATGTTGATCCACAGCTTGAAATAAAAACAACACGTTAAAGTACTCACAGACACAGTCAGCGCTTCCTGTACATCTTTGTGGCTGACCAGCTGCACATTCCCGTCCTCGTAATAATGTACCTGAGACAAGCAGATGACAAGGACAACAATGAAACAAATCCTCACAGCTAAGCTCATACACACACCCGAGTATTTCTTAACATACCTGTATCTTCATGACTCCAACCACCTGAGCTGTAGACTGCGAGACACTGAACTTCCATTCAGACCGGCAGCGACCGTTCCTAGAAACAGAGAATGAAGAGCTTGAAAATAAACACCATACACCTAATGCGATATCATTACTGTCTCTATACCGCAATAAAATGACTGTCTGCATTAATTTGTTTTGGGCATTTAAACTGAGGTCATTATCCTCCATCAACTTACCAGAAGTTTTTAGGCTCAAATTGATGCCCCTCGATACAAGCTATGATGGTCTGCTGCCCATCGATTGTTTTCCCGTAAACCTGAAGAGGATAAATCCGAATGAGTGGGCGATTTAAATGTATGATGCTGAAAATAGCCGCTTTGTTTTCAGGCTTAAGGAGTGATCTTACGGTACAAACTCCACCCGGGTAGTGCTCCTTAATGTAGGCCTTCAGTGCAGAATCACAGGCGTCTCTCCATGACCTGAGGGCTGACTCGCTCTCATGGGGTCGGGGGTCGCTGGCTTCTTTTCTCAGGTGGTCGTATTTGAAGGAGATCTTGTTATGAGGGTCATAGAAGCGGCCGTTACCTAGGTCTCCGTGTTCTGTAATGAGGACCTACATAAGGAAGAGACAGAGACACTCAAGCATTAGAGATTGTCGAATAAAATAACATTAAAATGAGATGGTTTTGAAGAGAAAAGCAAATGATCTGAAGAACTTTGTAAGGAAAAGCTTGCCTGATCTTCATATCCTTCAATTTTGGCAAGGCTGAACTGATCCATGTTGTACTGGGCAAAGGCACTGTAGATAAAAAAGTACAGCAATGTGAAGGAATGTCAAAAAAAATCATCAAAATCTTAGAAAATAAGGAGAGAAAAAATGAACTAAACTTACTGAGCAGCTCCCTCTCTGAGAAGTTTATCATTGTTGAGCAGTATCCGCACATCTGGAAGAAGAATTAACAAAAGTAAAGTGTGAGCAAACTGCCTCCATACAAAGCAAAGGCCTAAAGATGTTACACACGAAAGACTCACCATTGAAGACTTCGTTGAACTCTCCTGGAGGAGCATGCAGCACAAAGTTAGCTGCAACTCGGACCTACAAACAAATCCCATATCTTGTCATTCAAAGAACTCAAAAATAGTAAGAGGCTTAACATTTAACGTAAAATCAGTGTTACTTTTTCTTTTAAATCTAGCTCATTTTTCTGTTTTCGGATATGGCAGGATGTAAACATGGGAACAGTGAAAACCCTGCAGTGAAATAACCACTAGAGTGAAGCAGAGAGCAGTCTGTTAAGATTCTTGGCTGCAGGTTTGTTGGCTCTAATTTGGCCTCTCCTTAGATGGCAGGTATGTATCCCAAGGGCTTTTCTTAGCAGCCAGTATGCAAGTAAGCATGTGGTGTCAAAGCTCAGAGTGAAGCAGTGTAAGAGCTCTCATTATGACACTCTGATGTATCTAATAGATGTTTGCAAGCAAAACATGGACAGGTGCAATCAAACTTTTCTGTCAACAAAGACGCTTCAATATTCAAGTTATGCTTCACTGCTTTAACCACAACGTCACTGTCACATAAAAGTGCAACTTTTGCCAGTGATGGCGCCGGTTAGGCAGACAGGGTTTTTAAGCCTCCGGGCTGCAGCTGGCAGTGACCTACAAATGGGATGTCCAGCTGAAAGGGCATTGGGGGATAACAATGAGTAACCCAGTTTAACTGATCTGTATAGTCACTCCATTCAGAACCGTGAAAGCACTCCCAGGCTCAGGCTCTGATCCCCCCCCCCATGCATTTCACCAATTTAGACCAACATCTATCAAGGACACAACACAAACTAGATATCTGATTAAAGACACAATAGATAACACCTTTCCTCTCATTACACCACACTGTTTATATCTATTTTAAACATAGAGTAATGCAGGGAGGCGTAAGCTCCTGGCCACACCATCAGCTTTAGGAATGCAAAGCATTATTGTACAACATGTAGCAGCAAGAGGCAGAGGGAGCAGCACAGGCCACTGCAAGCCCCAGTATCACTACAGGGAGACTGCATCTGTCCTGTGAACTGACAAACACATTTAAAAAGAACTGTTAACTCGAGTAACATCTGTCACCATACTATGTCATGGAGTCAAGAGTAGGCATTACATTAAGCCAGAGATTGGCTGGTATTAAGCTGCCGATGCACTATCATTATCCTTACTGTAAATGCAGGAAGTAGCTCGACTTCCTTCCATTTAGCTGAAGCTAACATTATCAAGTAATCCAACCTCAAAGCCAGGCTACATAAGACACCAAGCTCAACCACTCGTGTGTGAAATGTTTAATCAGTTTAAGCTAACTCGCTTTAGTAAGCATACATGCATCATATATCCCTTTTACAGGAACAAAATGCTGAAACTCTGAACTGTCAAATGCAGCATTCGCTTAGCTAGCTCCACCGCTGCAGACGTCCAAACACTGCTCGCTTCACAATTCATACCGCAAAGTAATGACAATACAGAGAAATGTTGTTTCCCCTAGCTTCACAACACATAGAAGAGAATACTGATGATGTAAAATTAAATAGTAATACCTTCTCTTCATCGCTGATCTCATCGAAGTCTGCCATCTTGGCTCAATGAAGTGTTAACAAAGCGACTGTCCGTGTTGCCAGGTTTGTCTCCACCCCCCCTCCCCCTGCCAAATCGCAAATCATCCTGCTGAGTGTCTGAGCGCTGGGTTTGAACTGTTATATATTAATATTAATATTTAGAATATTTGTTAAATAAATAATTTTCGAAATGATACATAAATATTAACACAAACTTCCTTGTCGTAATGGATGTTTTTTTTTTTTTTTTTTGTTTTTTTAAACTGAAGCTGACACTATTCAAACCTGGCAACCCTGATACGTTATATGGAATGAATGGGACAGATGGGAAAGTTTTAATTTTTGTGATTTTTCTTTTTTGGACTGGAGTTTTAAATGACCTCATCAGGTAAATACGTTTTCATATATACTTAAGAATTAGCATTCTAGGTGGTTAAAAAAAATACTTATTTTAAATTAAACAGCACCATTATCTTGAAAGACAGGGTGTGGCTAACAAGAAACATATTTATTTGTTAATTATTGCGGTGTTCGTTTGTTGATATGAATCTGGAGAGTAAAATATGATATATCACGAGTCATAGCATACCATACTTAAGCCATGTCAGTATGGGATGTAGAAAGGAACGCTCTTAATAAGAACTCATTGGTAATTACGAAATTACATGAACGCAACATCAACGCCACAGACACAAACCCTTGGGCTGATTCGTTTTATGGCTTTACTTAGCCATAGGAATCTGCATAATGTTGACAAAAATTGTTTTCCACCCTTTCATGGTGTTTTTGATGCTAGTTTTAATTTATGTTTATTTGGCTACAACATAATAGCCCAGAGGCTTTTAGTTTTAACTTGTACGAATAGGCTACATTAATCTAAATTTGCATAGTGGCTGTATTCTAACCAAAGTGGTCAAATTAAATATAACAGTAAGCAAAGCACATGTAACAACAATATTGTCATGGTTGTAGCTTCTGGAGGAATATCCCAGAGTCAAAGCGGATGTTTGTGGCACAACTTCACCAATAAGGTGCCTGAAGGCTTGAAGAGGTCAAAATGCTTCATGGTCTAATTTATTCATAAAGTTTATCTTCAAGTGTTGCAAAAAATGTCCCAGAGTGTCAGTTTTGAATAAACAAGATGTGTGTAGGAACTTAATTCTTATTTTACAGTTTTCCTGCAAAGTAAGACAAGTTGTCTGAAGATAGATTTTCATAATGAGCTGTCAAGTGTGTTTCCATATAAGTCGTTTGTGGGGTTGTTTTTTTAGCAATAGTGCGGCAATAAGGTGAACACTGGTGTCTCAAATAGGGTAACGTCATTTTGAAACTTTGGTCAACTGCAAGTTCAATGGTAAATCATTTCACGGAAAGACTGTTTCATGTAAAGTGACGTGACTAATGCTTTCCTCAAGGTTCATCATTGGCTTCATCAGTTTAACATACAACATCAAGAGAAGTGAAGTGTCTTTCAAGAAAAGGGTATGAAGATTTTAAAAGACTAATACTCACATGCCTCTAAATCATATTTATTTGGGGGGGGGCAGCTTGCTTGTCAACAGGGGTTTATCATTTTCAAATCCTGTAATTTATTGTAAATCATAACCATAATGGAGCTGCTCCTCAATGAGAGACAGTTAACAGGGATCTGATATAGTGTTAGATGGGCATACAGGGATAAAAAAAAAAAAGAGTTAGAGAAGATGGGAGACATTATTTATGTGGGGCTGAAAGATTTGGAATTGGTGGAGAGATTGCAGCCATGAAGGTCCAGACTGCAGAAAGAAATAGAGAATTTAGTTATAAGGAAAGTTAAGAAAGCAGGAGAAAAAAAGAAAACAGTATAGATGAAACAGAGGAATTTCTGTTTTGCAAGGAAACCAAAAAAAAATGGTGATCACTTACTGTGCAACAATTTCAACTTCCAAATTTTGAAATTAAGACGAGTAAAGCAAGAATATTCCAGTTGGATAGGCCCCCACTGTCTCAGTTTAAAATAATAACCTGTGGTGGTGATGCAGTAGAGCTCGGCGTAACCATTACATTTCTTCCATAGTTGCAAAACCTCAGATGAACTGTAAACAAAAGGCTACCTGCCCAAATCTGACATGGGATTCTGATTCAGCTCCTTCAACTACTTCATGGAAAAAGATAAACAAGGAAGATACCTTAAAATTGACTTTTGAAATTTGTGTCCACTGCTTTGTGGTTGTGGAGACATAGATGTGCGTGAGAGAGATTCATTATAGGCTCAACCGGGACAGCAGGGACTCCAATGTGACATTTCTTATTAAACTTTTAATTGACATTAGATATGTTTCTTGGATTATATTGTGAGATGGGGCAAACTGCGTGGTGACCCCATAGACCAGGGGTCTCCAACAGGTAGCTCAGGAGCTACAGGTAGCTCAGGAGCTACTGGTAGCCCGTGGGCAGGTTTTCAGTAGCTCGCCAATAGGTTGACTGACTGTGTTAAAAAAAAAAAAAAAAATCAGACAACGGTAAATGCACCTCTTCCCACTATTCATATATTTGGCCCATAAAAACAAGCATGAAGTACTAATGTTTTCTTGGACATTGATGTGAATTTAAGATTATTGATAAGCATTGGTTTATTGCAATTTCACACATTAATTCAGCTGAGCTATGTAAATAAATGCAAGCGATTTGATGCAAAGTAGCCCTTGGCCACTTTCATTTTTTGAAAGTAGCTCTCAGATGAAAAAAAGGTTGGAGACCCCTGCCATATAGACTGTAAATGATAATGGACGCCGCCGTCACCAAGGCACAGTTCTCCAGTAGGGGGAGATGTCTGCGCAATAGACGCCGCGACCGTAGAAGAAGAAGAGTCGCTCACGGTCCAGCTGCCGTACAGCGAGCCGTCTTCATTGTGAGCAGAAAGCGAGCTAACAACAACCTGTTTGTGGCCTTCAGTGACTGCAACCGGGGATAATATTCGCGATTGAGGTGAGTAAAGACGTGCTCTGTTGTATTCAATAACACAACAAACGCTGTAAAGTGTTGAAGCTTTAATGAATTGTCGGTGTATCCGCGAAGCTCGTCGTTTGGTTTTCCTTTCAGAGGCAGCTGATGCTAACGCTAAGCTAACAGACGACGAACAGCTTACGACTGCATCGCAATAAACCACGTAAAATGTACGCATGTAGGACGAGGTCTGTGTTGTGTAAAGTTGCTGTTTCAGTCAGTGTTTACATCCTAATATAAAGAAACAAACCTGTGCTCCGTTTATAACACAAGTCTCTCGTGTGGTGACGTCACGCTGTTTGCCTGCGCGCACATTTAAGCAAAAAAAAAAAAGAAAATACCATAAAGTTTGTTTCCTGAAGTTCATGTTTAATCCTATCAAGAAAAAAACACAGTATGAAGTGTGCAGGTTATTCATTAACACGTGTTTTATTGCACCACTGAGGTAACATAAACAGATCCTTGATTCAACTCGTTTCTCAGTGTGTGTGTGTGTGTGTAAACTCTTTAATCCAGCACCTCAGGTAGTGTGTCTGCAGGTGGTCATCAAGACAGTGTTGATTATAACACAGGTGTGATCACACAATTTGATTTGAGTTAAGAGGTTAGTTAATGATAGGAAAGGGAGGGTGATGATGATTCAGCACTGCATTGTTTGTTGACACGAGGCATCAGGTCAAGTGTTGAAGATAACACATTCACAGTCTGTGCAGCTTCATAATCTGAGATGTCGTAGATATCCACTTTACAGTCAAATGTAAAAGTGTGTTTCAAAATAAAAGGTGTTATTATTAAACACTTCGCAAAAATTGTATTAAAATAATAATCATGAAGACTGATTCATTTCTGCTCCAACAACTCAACTTGTTCCTCTACTTAACCGATTACTTGGGCGTTACAGGACGGCGGCAACTCAGTAGGTCGAGGGTTCGATCCCCAGCCGAGCAACATGTCCGATGTGTCCTAGGGCAAGACACTTAACTCCGCATTGCTCCTGCTGCTTCGGTGGCGGTGTATGAATGGATTACTGTTGTACTTACTCTCTGATGTACTCGTGAATTGTAACATTGTACTTGACAGTTGCCAAGCAACCCAAACAATCTCATGCCCTGTTGCTTGTCCAAGACCAGCCTTTTTTTTTTCTTCCATTTATCATCTCCAGCAAGTCTAATTATGGTGACTGATGAATCAAAACAAACAGCGTCTACTGCACAGTTAATAGACAGTTTTCAGAAATAAGGCTGAAGTGGATTTATGCATATTGGGGAAAGTCCTCCTGAGTTTTTGCTCAGCACTGGACATAACTGTTGTAGCATTTACAGAGAGTAAAGTAAGAAAATAGTTACTTATTTCATAATCTCTTACTTTCACTGTTTTTTTTCCTTCTAGACACTAAGGGGTTTCTGGATATGTGGATACGAAATCAGGTGCATCCCGGTTCGAGTTGAGGTATGTAAAGGGCTGCTCCCTGAAAAGCATTATGTAGCAAACCCCCAACCGTGAATGTAAAGTAACAACTATTATTTTTCCTTCTTAGCTGGTTTTCTAAGTAATGTGTATTTGGATTGAAAACTCCTACAGATTCCCTTTCGTTGAAATCGATTTACATTGTGCTGCTTATTCAACATAAACCCATTTACTTAACACAAAGTCATTGATATCTTCGAACAGAAGAAAACATTTAAATTGAGTCATTTCCAAACTCGCGATTTCATTTCATCGATGCGATTTTTCGCTGAGACTGTTCTCGCTACTTCATGAGATGAGGAGATTTGAACATGTTTTCCTGCTCAACATTTGTGTGAAATCTGACAGACCCCAGGACATAATTATGTCTTGTAATCAAATAACTAAAACTTTTATCAACGATGCTAAACAAAGTCACAGAGAGTCAAAAACAGGATTGGCGGTGTGCCTCTTAACCGATATCGTGGAATATTTTAACTTCTGACTCTGGTATTGTAATGGTGAGCAGGACGAGTCAATTCAAGGAGGCGGAATAATACAACAGTTTGTCACGTGTCACAGTGATGGCTGTGTACCTCTCTGCGCCATTTCACATTTCTGACAACAACTGCAGTGTAACTTTGCAATGTTAGTTTTGGAAGAATTTTTCGTCAATTCATCTTGCGTAGGTTGAAGTAAAACACACTTATTGGTTTCAACATCTACAATGGCTCTTTAGTTTTTGTTTTTTAACCCCTCTGGTGGAATCACTTCCTCAAACCTTCATAAACGCTGTTTGTCGTCGTGGATTCGTCTTGCCTATTGGTCGATTCACTTCTCATGATGGACATGTTGCATTTATGCCATCTCAACTACGTACCCCTCAGAAAATTAACTCAGGGCTGCTTTAACCTAATTTTGACTTCGCAATAACGTGAATTTCCAATTTTTTGAAGCCTTGCTGCATGTTTCATTCTTCATGATCACTAAAAGATTTCAGTCTGAGAATTCATTCAGTTCAAACCAACACGGGGAAATGTTCAATGTTGGGACCTATTAATTTCATCAAACGACTTGCTGCTCGGACCCAGACAAAAACACACACCCAAGATGTTGTCACAAAGGATTTTGTCAAATTTGCAGAGAATTTTGTCATTTTCATATTTGATACTCTGCTGGAAAAAGAAGGAGAACTGTAGCAAGCACTCGTTTGTCAGATGACTTTGTGAAGTGGTCATTTGTGAAACAACCTACATTATAATTTGTCCCAGCGCAGAGATAGATTACAATATGCCCCGCGACGCGCAAACGCACCAGAGAGTCTGTGAATTTTCCCCATCGTCTCCACTGTCTGACCTTTGACCTGACTTAATTGTACATTTTTAATAAAACTTTGAATCCTCCCAAGAAATGTCATCCTTTCTTTTAATTCACTGACATTTTTCAGGATCGTGGACAACGATTTAAAGACGCTTATTTGCAAACATACCAACCTTTTTCAAGCATTTGAGACGCACAAAGAAATATACAAGTTAACCTTTGGGATCCAGTCATGTCTCGCCGAAGAAGCCACAGCTCATCACCAGGGCGTTTTTCACGCTCCTGCAGCAGTAGTGATCCTAGAGATTTGGAGAGGAGGATTTTTGTTGGGAATTTGCCGACCTCCGACATGGAAAAAAAGGATCTGGAAGACCTGTTCTCCCCGTACGGCAAGATAGTCGGTCAGTAAAGAATTACACAAAATAATTTGTCCATTTGAATTCATGACAATAACTTGAAGCTGGCCGTGTCTGTCACAATTGGAGTGTTTTCCAAAGGAAAGTGCATTTTGATTTCAAGTAGCGTTAACTGAGACATCCTGAGTCTGGCCTATTTATTAAATGCAAGCAATGTAAACATTTTGAATGATTTTCCTACTCATCATTTCTCAGAGTGGGTAGCTATCTAACTTAAGTGAAATTAAAATTTGAATCCGTTTCTGCTACTCAAAATGTTCCTCTTTCAGGCGTATCCATGTTTCGTGGGTTTGGATTTGTACAATTTGAACGCGTTGAGGAAGCCGAAGCTGCAAAGGCTGCCGTAAAGGGTCGAATATATAAAAGTTATAAAATAGGTAAGCCTTAACTGCAGTGGGTATGATTGTCTGGTTAAGAGAATAGGTTTTTATTGGTGCACAGTGAGCAACAAAACCAAGTTAATGAAATATTATGGTTTTGATGAGTGCACATGATGGCCTGAGTGTTGATCCTTAAAATAATCTGGATTTGCTGATTTAAAAAATGTGAAGAAAATAAACTATTTTAAGGATGGACACTGGTTTCTGTTTGGAAGTGTTTGTTTTATATTTACAGTTTTTATTTGGTTCATTCGGGATAAGCCCTAGCCTAAAATAAATCACATTGATGAAGTCATATGATACAATCAGTAAATTATCGCCCATAAGAACAGTGGTAAAAGTGAAACCCACTAGGTCTTTGTTTGATTAAATGACCAAGTCTTCAAAATGAAGATAAGACTTTCTGATATTTGTTCTACACATTTCTTTTAGTAGTTATGCTACCTCTTGTGCTAACACAGTAATAAAACAATTGATTTCCCAAACTCTGGCAAAGCCTGCACATACAAGCTCTCATTTTATTTGCAACACTGTCTTGGAATTTTCTTATAAATCTTTATGAATATGTCAGTAAAATGGAGCACTTGTGCTTCAAAGATTCCTAAAGGCTAAATTTTGTGTTTTAATTATGTAACAAACACGTTCAACTTTCGCCAATTATCCAATTTTCATGCGGAGGAAAGCATTTCTTCAACGTAAACCCTATTTGGCAGATTTGGCATCTCGATTTGCTGCATTTTGACTCTCCTCCAGTTTGGATTTACCACCTTGGATTCTGGAGTTACTTTCATTTCCAGCTCAGTTTCATTTGTTCCGCGGCCACTTCAATCTGCGTGAACGCATAAGCTTATTTTTACGTACATGTCACTATTATGTTCAACGTTTGGATTGATTTATTTTCAGATGTAAATATGGCCGTGGAGCGACGGGGCACTAAACCTCAATCCCAGCAGAGCCCCCCACGAAGGTAAAGTAACGCAAAATGGGTGTGAAGAACTACCTTCGCCTCTGGTGAAAAAAGAACCTAAAATTATTGAAAAAGAGCGTTTAACTTTGTCTTCAGATTTGATTTACACCGTCGTTAAAGTGAGGTTGATGGAAGCCACTGTACCATCAGATGGTTTGTGATTGTTTCCCGGGCGTTTGATCGTTCATCTTAAAGTAACTTTTCTCGATGTGCTGAAATAAAGAAAAGAGCCATAAAAATGTAATTTAGAGTGTCTTTGTCTCAAAGATTCTTTTGGCTTTCCAGTGCTGTTTTTCTTTGGTGTGAGTTTTGTCCGACATTTAATCTCCAAGCACAAATGTGCAACTCTGATGATCGAGGACACGCAATCCCAATTCCTAATCAATGAAGCAGGTCCTATCGGAAACATGACCTTGAACTAACAAGATTTGTACGCTTTGTTACAATAATTATCGACATAGCCTCTCTAAAGCGACATACATACATGCATACATAAAATATACACAGCTTTGTGCAAACCACAATGAAAATGGAATTACAGGAATCCCGTGGAGTATAAATCATTTACTCACCAAAACATATTTTACTCGAGATCTGCAGAGTTTAATCGTTTGCTAGCTGTCAGTCGTCTTCTTCGCTGGTGAACTGATACATTTCTTTAAGCGCAACCACCAGAAGATACCGTTTGTTGGGTAACATTTAAAAACGTACAAGTTATGACTTGTGACAGTTTAAAGTGAGATTAACTTTGACAAGATTTCTCCAGTTTTACCTTGGAGCAAACAGACACTTCTGTTTTTTTTTTTTTTTTTAATTAGCAACATGGAACGGATTTAATTGAAAAACAAGGCTGGAATAGTTTCATAACCAAATAGAATTAAATGTCCCAAAAAGTGTTCAAAAAGGTTTCACCTCCCTGTTACACTCGTGTCGCTCAATGGAATGGTCGATTAACCACAAACAGCCAACGTCTCGTGAAAACGGCTCACTGGACATTTTCAAAAGATCGTAAAGGAAAGGACGCTTACAGGAATCCCCTTCTGGACCGCTTTGTCGTGTTAACCTCTGTGCACAATCGTTACTTTTGCTTGGGCATGTAAACACGTTTATTTACTCGTTTTTTATGACTGAATACAGATGAATTAAATATACAAGTCCAACTTTAGGTCCGTCATCCTATTGATCCTTTGTAATATGACACAGAGCCTAAATTCTAACCTTCCTTTAACTAATTAATGATCTCCTCTCAGGGCCCCATATGCCAGTTACGCGGACAGCAAAGAGCCCCGGCCTCGTTCGCGTTCACCCGTTTACAGCCGTGACGGCCGTGATGGACGTGATTCACGTGATTCCCGTGAGCCTCGTGACAGCAGAGACCCAGGTAGAGAGCCCAGGCCAGCTGGCCACTCCCGTGACAATGATTACAGATACCGCAGCTCAGAGAGCCGAGACAAAGATGCCAGAGGTGACCCCAGGAGTGATCCCAGGAGTGACCCAAGGAGTGATCCCAGGAGTGACTTAAGGAGTGATCCCAGGGGTGACCCCAGGGGTGACCCCAGAGGGGACCCCAGAGCGGACCCTAGAGCTGACCCCAGAGCTGACCCCCGAGACCCGGCTTACAGGTGACTTTTGACACCTAGTCAATTAGTCTGGAATACAAAACGAAGTGTTGACATTTTTGTCTAAAACTGTGATGCTGTTTTACAGCAGAGAGGACTACGATCGATTCTTCCGCAGTGGCAGTGGAGCAGAAGATTATTACCGGAGGAAGGATGAACCCTTCAGGGACCCCTACAGAGATCCCTGGAATGGACGGCGTGAGCCAGAGGGTATGTTTACTCTACAGTGTACAGACTAAATTGACTATTTACAGTCACTATTTACTTTAAGAGTTCTCAACATCCTAGAGGAAAATGGGGTTTATTTGAAAATAATGCATTTTATAATTTTGCTTCTTTTATTTTTTTTTCATTACATCTAAGAGGTTATTTTCCTTGATTTTGGTTTTCACCGCATTATTTCAAGTCTGTAATGAGAATTAAAAATGAAGTTACATGTACATGAAATTTTTGTCCTTGAAAGTTCTGAAAACTATTTTGCACAACTGCAGACTTTGTAGTATTCTAGAGTTGAGGCTGTCAGCTCAGGCTGATTAAAAGTGTATTAAATCCATCTGATATTTAATTCACCAGCCACCTCCTCCTCCGTAGATGATCGTGCTCGCCCTGAAGAGCGTCGACGTAATGAGTTATATCGACAGTACTATGAAGAACTGCAGCGACGCTACGACTCTGACCGTCCTGTCGACTGCTCTGTGATCGTCGTCAACAAAGCACAGAAGTAAGTTCACTCTCTGGGTTTTACTTTAATCAAAGATGTTTAACCTTAAACACATCTGTAAATATTCAACCAGTACATGGCATGTTTTTATTTCATATGGCTCCTGTGTTTGTGTGTGTGTGTGTGTTTTCCTGTGTGTATTTTTGCTTCAACAACAACTGTAGGGAGTATGCTGAAACGGTCGGGCGGAAAATCCGTGATTTGGGCATGGTGGTGGATCTGATCTTCCTCAACACAGAAGTGTCCCTAACCCAGGCACTGGAGGATGTTGGAAGAGCACGCACCCCCTTTGCCATTATCATTACCCAGCAGCACCAGGTCCACCGGTCCTGCACTGTCAACATCTTGTTCGGCACACCACAAGGTAATAAAAGACGGCAAAATGCATCTGTTGACTGATCACCTTTTATCACGCCAAAAGTAAGGATTCAGAATTTCAAATATGACGATTTTGGTGTTTTTAACAAGCTTTCTTTTGTGTCCTCATGGCCGTAGAGCATCGCAACATGCCAATGCAGGACGCCATGATGCTGGTTGCCCACAACTACGATGCATACAAAGTTGAAAACCGTGAAAAGGAACGTGAGGAAATTGCCAGAAAGGCTGCCAAGATGGCGGATGATGTGTTACTCAGGGAGCCTGACAGAGAAAGCCACCCCATTTCTGTGCTCACTGCCATCACACTTCTGTCTGAAAACAGGTATCTATTTGATATGTTTTGTCACCTGATGTATACTTTGTAGTGCTGAAATGGATCCGGCTTAATTTGTGACCCGTTCGGATGAACCCCTATGGTTCGGGACACCAGTGATCCGTGCATCAATGGAAAATGTATAAACATGGTGTAGCCTTTAAGAAATACTAAACCTAAGTCCCTGTGCAGAGTCTCAGTGGCTTCATGTTAGTAACGTTACAAACTGTTGTCTGTTGCTGTAAGCTTGGCCAAACTGTTGCAGAGCGCTGTGTATCTAAAAGTTAAGAATATTTACATTAGATTAATCTTTTCTCCCCTTGCTCCGTGCTTGTTTCATAGATTTGTAACCCCAGAAGAACTAGACAGTCTCCTTGCTTACCTGAAGGACAAAAGAGCCCGACTACTACGGAGCACTGCAGACCCTCTGACAGGTAAGAAGGCAATACGTCACGATAAAGGATTATTTCATGTTTTTAAAGTCATCTCTTAAAACAAAAAACTGACACATCCCATCCCATTTGAAAAATGTGAGGACATTCTTTCTCTCCAAACTGGTCCCTAAAATGCTTCCTGATAATTGAGTAAAAGGTTTTAGTATCTATGCAAAAACATTTCACTGAGTTATTTTAATGCAAAAGTAGCCTGAGAAATACAATCATAGAGATATTTTTAAGGGTAATGACTTTGTTAATTTACATTTCCTCTTTGCATCGTTATCCCTCCAAACAAGACATTACACCCTGGAGACCGTGCCCACACTTTTAGTTAGCTAAAAACAAGATAATACCAATTCAAAGGATTGCTGTTCCCACTAGATTTCCAGATATTTACTACTGAAGATTTGACAGCACTTAGTTTACATTGATAGATAAGATCATCATTTAATGCCTTAGCAACTGTCAACACACATGGACTTGTATAGCTCAGCTCAAACCTCTACGGTTTGTCTGACCAAATTACTGGGTGGCATGAGCCCAGTTTTCCTCTTCTACTGACTCCAGTCTTCTCATCTCCAGTGTAGGTGGTACTTTATATTTCTCTGTGCCTATGCAGCTCAGTAAGGGGGGAAAGCTCTCTTTGGAAACTGGGAATTTTGCACGTAAAGACCCCCCTTACCGTAGTTTCCTTACTTGGACTGCTGAACGCTTAAACTCAACTTGAAGACACTGTAATGTGTCCATCATCTGTAACATTGTACATGTAATCATTGTGTCATGAGATTGTTTTATTTATTAATTGCATAATATTGTGTATAACCTGTTTAATGCAACACATATTGACCCGTCTCTTTACAGCTTCAGTCCATGCTACTCCTGCAGCAGCTCACCATGACATTCCACCCTCGACTGCAGTACTGGCTCCTTCGTCCCATTCTACCCTCGCACCCCAGCAGCCCAGCCATCTCGGACTATCAGCAGCTTCAACAACCTCTGCGAACCCCAGTCATCAGCAGGAGCTCCAGGCTAAAATCCTGAGCCTGTTCAACAGCGGCTCCGGAGCATCAGCAGTTCCATCCTCCACTTCTCAGGTGCAGGCCTACAGCTCTCTAGGTCCGGTCCCTTCTCAGAACCCACCACCCCGCCCAGCCATGACTGGCCCTCCTCCTTCTGCAATGCAAGGTTATGGCAACCCACTAGGCCGCATGCCACTCCCACAAAGTCAAAGACCCCCGAGCACTGCTTCAGGAATCAATTTTGACAACCCAAGTGTACAGAAAGCCCTGGACACGCTCATACAGAGTGGACCGTCTCTCTTGGTGGGCACTAGTGCTTCCCAGCAGCCTCCACCCTCTAGGCCAGCACCCAGCATGAGCCAGGTCCCTTCTATGTCTATGTATCCCCGACATTACTGAAGGGTTGTATTAAATTTATGATAAAATGTGAAGTCCACTTCTCCCTCTGATAAAAGTAGACACCCCATCAATTCTCTGTGCAGTGAATTTACATGCTGTGTAAAGTAAGACTGTAGGGATGTTTGTAAAAACTTTTAAGTTTTTATTTTATTCTGGTTGTTGTGTTCATTTGGTTAAATTTAATGACTTGTTCAGACTAAATTATGGTCTGTTTTTCTAATAGCTAGAAGATATTCAGTCTTTGTATATGTGAGTTAGAGTATGAAGTGTGTCAACTACAGTATATTTTGAATTTGAAAAACTCCTAAATTCTGTTCCAGCCATTACTTCTGATTTGTTTTATAGTTTTTTGCAGTTTTGTCGTTTTTATAATTTGTAACATGTTCCTTGTCATAATGAGACATGATTAAAAAAACTCCAGACACAATTACTGTAATAAAATGGTATTGGTTTATTGCATTTTGTGCTGACAAATCTATAAAATGGAACGGGTATCGCCAGAAGCCATAGAGATATAAGCATTTGAAATGTAAGATAAAACTACTTTTCCTCTTTTTAATGTACCATGAAACACAATAGAGAATAATACAGTTTTTTTATTTTAGAATATTTAACTTACACTGACACAAAATAAACACCTCCACACTAACTGTATTTGATATATTTACATGTAGCCCCCTCCCACCCCCAGCAGTTACAAGTGCACATGTACACACATACACACTCCCACAGAACTGAAAGGAACACACTACGGCTTTACCTTAAGACTAGGTACAGTATCAAGGAAGAGCAATGAACAGATCTGAATGAAAAGTTTTTTTTATATATATCACTGAAATTTGATACAGGTGTGTCTTTGTGTGTATGCTGTATATATATAATCTATATCTACATCCATTACATATTTAAGCATCCATAGAAAATGTTTCCCACAACTCCAGTGAATTAAAAACAAACCTAGACAGCGATAAAACTCAATGGAAGGGAGTACATGTTAGTAAATTAATTACTGCATTTTTAGAGGTCTAAAGTATCAAGGGGAAAATACATTTCAAAACTAGGTTCGCATAAGATCAAAATCAAATACAGAAATTGAAGATAACTTCAGCCGCTTGGTTACTCAAATGAACGCAGGGACGGGTAACAAAATCACCTCTCTGCCCCTCTCCAACTTAATTATATTTTATTTGCAACAAACACAGAGGGGAAAAATGTAAAAACGATTAAAAGCAGTTTTCTGAGCGGTGAAGTACCAGAATATTTTTCGTAGGGACCACTTCCTTATGGGTTTTCTGGTTGCTTGGCAACAAGCTACAAACCAGATTTAAACGTTAACCAATGAGCTCTAGGGAATAAGGTAAACTAAATTCCCCCCATTCATGTGTCTTTGTGCAAAGTTACACTAAATACCCAAAGAAGTATGGTAATTTCCTAATTTACACTGAATAAAACCACGGCTATTGACCAGAAGTGATCAAATATAAAGGCTGTCAGGCAGATACACTTCATAAACTTGGGCACTCACTATTTTCTCGTAATATTGTTAGCCTATTGTCTGTGTCTAATTCACTGGAGCACACATTTGCACACTATCACCTATGTAGTCAACTGAAATATACTTTGGTACTCGGTTTATCTGCAGTTAATATTTGACACAATGTGAGGACCTTTTTCAACAAATCCACCATAAAAAATAGAATCTTGTACCGTACTAATAATATTCATCTTGGATATAATGATTGGGCAGTCCTAAGGAAAGAAAAAAAAACATACTACTAAAAAAAAAAAAAAAAAAAGATCCTAGCTGATAAAACAAAATACTATTATACCACAAACACCCAATATATTTTCAATACACCTTGTTCAGGGTAATTGCATGCATGCACTGAGTTACACAACATAACTGGATGAAGGCTCTGCTTGAACTGCACGAGTAGCCACTTTAGTTCTTCTCATCTGACTCCCAGAGAGACAGACTGAATGTAATGCAGGTGCAGCTGTTTTACCTTTTACCTCCAACATCAGACAGGTCTGATGCTTCTGTAAAAATAAACTGAAGGGTTCAGTCTTATCGCAGCTACAGCCCTCTCTGCCTTTATCTAGGATTTGTTTAGTATTTTCTCTGAACAGGAGAGCCTCCTCAACCCGGTAACAGATGTGTTTCAGAGCCCTTAATATCCACTTAAGGATGGAGACTGGGTAATGATCACCGGCAAGTTTGTCTCATGCTACAGTTGTGCAGGCGAAGGATCTGATCTAAATCATTGATCAGTTTTGGGGGATAGGGTAAAGAGAGGGGATGTGCTGGTTGACCAAGTCGACTATCTCAAGTCATCCAAGCAGAGCCAGTACCAGAATTGGAAGCGCAAGTTTTATATTCTTTGATCATTTTTCAGAATTATACTGCAATCACATTTAAAATACAGAGCTGGGGTGATTCAGTGGCTGGGATGGGGGAGGCTGGGGGATTTTGGGGGGCAGATAGGTCGAGGAGAGGGATGGTTTTGAGGAGGGGGAGGGCTGGAGGAAGGATGTGGGAAAGGCTCACCTCACAGATTGAGTGACAAGCACTATAAATTGAACAGTTACTATTATTCTTTTAAAGAAGTTTGGCAAGAGAAAGTAAAGAGTGTGATGCATGCTTTAATGCGTTGATGTAAAAAAAAAATCAGCAGGTAGGTTTCTGTTATTGCAGTTTATAACTGCTGCAGGCTGATGGGAATTAATCATATTTTTTATCGTCTGAAGTGTCAGACCGCCACAGCTGGCTGGAATACACTCGTATGCCTCTGGAGATCACTGCGGGATGAGTCTGTACAGAGCCCACAGGCTCCTGCAGACTCACCCTGTCACAGATGACCCCCCCTCAGTGTAAAGTGCTTTGCCGTCTCAGCCACATTTGGAATGAACAATGTAAATCTTTATTGTCCATAAGACCTGGTGACAAATATTCTGATGACGACTGCTGACGCCTCTGTTGGTCTATAAGAAAAAAAAATGAACACAAAGTGACAAATGAAAAAGCAAAAAGACCAATGTGAGAACAATATTGCACATGATCATACAAAAAAAAGACTTTGCCCACAGTGATAGAACAGTGTACAACAAAAGACAACACAGGTAGGTTACAGTGTCTCTGACTTTAGTGAGATATATTTACAAAGGTGAAATGACCATTTCTAAGGCCCAGTCATTCGCAAACTCAAAGTCTCCTATTATGTTACATAAGACTGCTTGAGCAAGAATGAAGTATAACAAGTAACAATATAGTGAACTCATACTTTTTCTTATTTTTTTGCAAAAGACTTGTTTTCAAGGTGTAGCCACCTCGCCAACCGAGCAGCAAACACTTCAGGGTTCTCATAAGCTCTGACTTTGTGTGAAAATTGGACAACCTTTCATTCCGCTCTGCACCTTTCTCAGTAACATGTAAGTCATCACTATAGAAACCACTAAAACAAATATTGCCACATAGTACCATGCAAACAGCAATTATAAAACATGTATAATTCAATAAATAAATTCATTTCCAATAAACGTCTCCAATAAACATCAGATATCTTCTCTTTTTTTAGAATACATTTTTAAAAGGCTCAGTTGATGCAGGCAATGTTTGTGGAGACAATCCCAAATCAGCAGTGTTCTTCAAAAAACTGATGTGAGCTCTAAACAACCCCTCTGTCAGAGTTCAGTGTGACAAGGACATTAAAGGAAATCTTCACTTGGCACTGAAAATCTTTGCAAACTTGGAGTGGCTGCTTCTTCAGTGTTATAGGTAGATGTTTGAAAAATGTGTAAAGAGCAACTTTTAGCAGATAATAAACTATTCTATTCAAACAGATTTAGGTGTTTCTTTAAGTAAACTACATAAATTAGTATCTTAAAATTGTCTTGTTGAACTTAGAGATAATCATTAAGAGAGTTTTTTTAAGACAATAAAAGGGTGAAGGATTGGCCCTCAGGTGTAATATTGCATCAAGATGTTCCATAGTTTTCGAATGAAACAGAAAGCTAACCCTGTCAGAGATCACAGGCCAAATGTTTCCAGGTACAGCCTTGTCTTTGTTTGACAACCACCACCTCTGATATGTATGTCTTTACCCTTTTCCACTTGATCTTTAATGTTGCTTTAGTCATCTCTATTTACAGTACAAATAAATCTATAGATACTAGCAGCATTCACAACATATGGTCAGACATTCAAGCAACACTAAAAACATTGAATACGCTTTTTAAATAGTTCTAGAAACTAGTTTGTTTTGCTTCCCTATATAGTATATACTGTATATATATACGTATTTATTTATATTCATATTTCTACTACAAGTGCAAATGACCAAAAACAGTTTCTTCAAGAAAAGAAATCAAAGTAAAATGACAGCTGTCCTTGGTCAGAGTGAGATGATTCTTGTTTTTGTTTTTTTTAGACTTACGAAATCTACATATACAAAATATGTGTAAAAAAATAAATAACATGATCACATGAATCCGGATTTCCAATAATTGCACATTCCTTCCAAGATGCTTTTTTTTTTTTTTTTTTTTTACCTAAATAAGATTAGCTCACAAGTCATTCAGTCAGGGACGCGAGTGGCTCAAATCTTAACCAATCTAGAGGATATAAAATCTCACAGGAGAGTCTACTGCATAGAGTTCAGTCTGCTGGACAAAGTGAGTTTCCTAGCTACAGAAGCCTTTGTCCTCTCTCTCGCTCTCTCTTTTTGTCGACTACAACCTATAAAGGAACAACCAACACATGTTCATAATCTAAGTGAAAGGTCTGAACATCTATTCTTGAATCATCTATAGGCTGGAGCAGTGTCATCACCATACTTTAATCACCTCAGATTTGTCTCTTTAGCGCTCTTTGTTCATTCTAATTTAAGCAAAAGAATTGTTGTTCACTATTTCTCCTTGGAAAATACTTTGATATGGCACATTTAATGTATATAAATTAGGCAAAACAACACTATATCTTTGAGTGACAATCAAACAATGACATCAAACTAGTGTATCAATATGTGTAACATCTGTCTATAAACATAAATACATATTTTGTTCTCTAGATGAAAAAATAACATTTAGTATTTTTTTTTTTTCTTCGTCATTTCATGAACTGGATGAATTCATCAAAATGTCACTTGTTGCACAGTGGCGGACAGTGCAGGTGCAGTGCTTGTTGAGGTTACAATGACAGTTACCATAGTGACAGGAGCCTATGCCATCCAATGAATAAATAAATAAATAAATTTATATATTTTTTAAAAACAGCCTTTTTTGAGCTGTCCCTCTGAGCGAAGGAGCCGTTTCCTCTCCACTAGAAGCTTTTTTGTATGTCACAAAAAATACTACACTCATACTGAACAACGCGTCAGAGCTTGTACATTATTTACAGTGATCCACACGTCGGTCGAGGGAGTGCTGGCAATGTTACTCTCCATAGGGTGGTGGGTGGTGGGTGGGGGGTGGGGGGGGGGTTTAACTGTCTCCCCACTTTGCTGTCACACCAGCCTTCTGCTAGGAAACACACTATTCACAGTTTAATTACGTGTCAATCTACAGACTAAGCTAGCCTTGTATCTTTTTTTTTTTTTTGGCACTAACAGTGGCCCCGGGGATAAACAGCCACTAAGAAATCAGTTGAAAGGAAGATGAGTAGAAAGACAGATTAAGTGGAGTAAAAACACACAGTTATAAGGATGCCATGCTAAGGAAGTGATCAGGTTAGAGAGAGAATACTGCACTTTTGATCCACGTTACTTTTCAGTCCTCTTGGAACATCGATGTGAATGTCACAGTTCATATTCTTCCAGCTGGTGGTCCTGACCGTGGGGGTAGCAGTGTCTTTTGCCTTGAAAGTTAAAATCACATAAAGACAAACAGGCTGGAGCGCTGTGGGAGGTGTCCAATCACAACGAGGAAAACTAAACAGACAAATCCAACACTGAGCTCATTTCAGCCGGCTCTCGGTCTTCTCGAGCAGAAGCCGCTGCTATGCCACACTTGTATTTGAAAAAAGAAAAAAGAGGAAAAAAAAAAAAAGGACAACAACCAAAAAACTGCAGATTTCTACAAAGACAGACACATACATGCATGTGCGCTCACACCTCAGCTAACAACCCACCACCAACACCAACACCAACACCACCCACTCCTCCTCCTCCTGACTCAAAGCGAGTTACTACAGCAGGTTACAGACTACTGAAGGGAAGAAAGCCTCTTTAAGAACAAATCTAGATAGCATCCAAATAAGTCTAAAGCCTACAACAGTTATAGTAGCTTACTGGACTAGAATGAAGGGTTTGTAGCTGAGGGAGAGGTGCTGAAGCTGAGCTGGGCTATTGGTTAGGTGTGAGAAGACTATCTTACAGAAAGAAATGGTAAGAGGGACGTGATGATGAAACAGGGCTGATGAGAGGGTGGGAGTACAGGTGACACAGGAGCAGGGCTGAGGGAGGAGCGAAGGGGGGAGTAGCGGGGATAGGGGCTGCTCTTTCAGGAGTAGATAGTGATAACCTCCCGGCCGCCCCCACGGACCAGGAGTACCCGGTTGAGACCATCAGTGAGGACCTCGAGGAACTCCATGTCTGGGAGAGAGGAGTTAAAGAAACTAGGGGAAGAAAACTCAGAGGAACTTACGGAGACACAAATGTGAGACATGAGACAGTTACTTTAGCTCACTTAGGCTACGGATGCTAATAGATAGGTTTTGTTACCTTTGGTCTAAGCTAGGCTAGCTCCTTCCTTGTTTTCATTTTTTATGAACTCATTTGAGAGAATGCTAAAGGACACTTTTATCAATATATAAGATCTTTTTTTTTCTATTTAAAGCTGAAATCATATTTTGGGCCACAGACGGGCAATAGCAAACACTGTAAAGATTACAAATAGGTAGTTGTAAGTTTTTTCACAAGTCTGATTTAATAATCTATCAGACAGCTGCAGCTCATCCTGAATGCTGCTTCTGCCAACACGGGCAGAACACCAGTCCACAGAGCTCTACACTGCCTTCCTCTGGGTCAAAGGAAAGTTTTAAAATCTTACTTCTAGTTTATAACTCAACCCGAGGCTCTTGAGCAACATGTGGCTCATTTGGGACTAGTTTTGGCTCTGTTAGGTCCTACTTGCAGAAAAAAATCCAGAGTAATTATTTAAAAAAGGGAAACATTGTCAGCAGAAATTAATCTTTGCAAGTCATGTCACCACATTTCCCACACATATTTTAGGAAAGAAAGAGGGTTTTTGATAGTGTCTCTTGCAGAAATATTTTTTGGTCAGTGTGGCTCCTAAGTCTAACAAGGCTGAGTACCACTGCACTAAATGGTCTAGGGCCAACACACATTTCAGACCTGCTACTCCTTTATGAGGCATCAAGAGCCCTCAGGTACTCATGGACAGGTTTACTCACTGTTCCTAGAAGCAGAACCAAGCAGGATGAGGCAGCTTGTATGCTCCTCAACTGGAACAAGCTGCCCAAGAACCTGAGGCTTTCTCAATCTGTTTGTTCAGTCCATTTTTCATCTATAGTTAACTTTAATTTAGATTACTTTGCATTTTCTTTTGAAGTTATTTTATAATTGCTCTTATAATGCCTCATTTTCACTCTTTTACTTGATTCCTTTAATCACTATTTATGCTTGTTTTTTACCCAAATGTCCTAGTTCTGGTTCCTAATGTTCTGTTATTAACTCTGTCAAACACTTGGAATTGCTCTATTTATGATTTGTCCTTTACAAACAAACTTGCCGTCCTTCCTCCTGTGTGCTCTGTTTACCTACTTCTGGCTGGATGAAGGATACAGTTCTCATCACCTGTCCTGTTCTTGGGTGGCCCGGGCATATTGAGGAGGACTAGCTTGGCCTCCGAGGACTTCTTGATGATGACTTCATTCAGCCGGAGTGCTGTGTGCATACGACGCACATTGAACTGGTTCCTGATGGGGGGGGGGGGGGACAAGTTGAGGGAAAGTGAGGTCAAACAGTTTCACACTTAATTAGACGGTCACTATTTAAATCATGTCATAAAGCATTTTGTGACTGAGATTGTTGAGGTGACGGATGCTCATTCACACACAAATGTTACATCCTCATCTGCCCATGTGGCCGAGTTGATCGTAATGACATATGAATGGACTGAATGATGTTGATAGGGACTTCAATACTTACAGGTTCTCCCACTCTCTGCAGCATGGCAAGAAGAGAAATACATCACAATCAGTACTAGGCTATTTATGTTTTTTTAAGTGAACCTGATCCTTAGTTCTGCTTAAAACCTCTAACAGCATTCTGACAGACCTTTCTGCTGCTGTGTTGAAGACACACTGTAGAGACCTTTTTTCAGAAATAAGAAAGACATTCACCTTTCAGGTTAAAAGTTCAATGAGCATTTCAAAGCACTCACGGCTTCATGTTGAAGATGTCTTTGATGCCCTCGGGTGTGGCTGCGCCCGGTGGCTTGGCAGGCTCCCCGTCAAGCTTCTCGGTCCAGGTCATCTGGACCTGCTCTCCGGGGCTCTTAGCCCCCTCTCCAGGGGTCACTGGGGTGGCTGGGGTTGCGGGGCTGGCTGGGTTGGTGTTGTCGTGGATGAGCTGGACCTGAGCAGGGGTGGAAACAGGGGAAGAGGCCGACTTTGACTATGAGACGGGAGGAAAAGAGGACGGATGTGGATTTCACATGTACATTACATGGACAGAGTCACAGTTGAGGTGGACATGTTGGAATGCAGGTAAAGTCACAGAGAGCCACAGTGTTCGAGAGAGGGGGAAGAAAGAAAAGTCTGATTAAAGAGCCTTACGTGCTTTAGTCTGGAGAATTTTTCGGGGGCTTTCCAGTGAAATTGGCTGTCACATCACATTACCTTAATATGAACTGCATTTAAATTCCTTTGCATACCCCAGCACAGAACCACAAATCGTTTTTTTACAGATTTTTTTATGTGGAAAAAAAATACAATTGAACAGGTTTATCAATAGGATTCTTGAGACAGAGCAAGGCTAGCTCCCCCATGTATTCCCCTATTTGTAGACTTCATGTTAAGCTCACTAGCTGCTGTCTGTCACCCCTAATCCAACAATTAGACATTAAAAACACAAGAGTACATCTCCCAAAATCTCTAAGTATTGCTGTAAACTCTCTTAGGTGTCTGGTGATATCTCTGTGCTCAGCCTGGCACATTTTCCCTCTTTACTCAGTGAGCTGATAGTTAACCTTTTTGACTCATATTGAGGTCAGTGGTGCTCTACCTCTTCCTCAGGCTTTTCCTCTGTGCTGGCTGCTGGCGGCTCCTCGGTCACACTCAGCTGGGTGGTCACAGCAGCCGGATTCTTACGGCGGATAGACCCGCGGGATGAATCAGTGATGCTCTGGATCTGTGACAAAACGGAGGAAGCAAAGCAAAGAATGAGAGATGTGAGACCAGGGTGTTGCTCAGTAATTATAGAAGAAGGCAGGTCAGGGATTTGTTTTTACAAGACACTTTATTTACTGTGCTACATGTACTTCTATCAACCCGGAGAACCAGGTAGTCTTTAAGTTGAAGGAGGAGGAGGTAATAATAGTAAAACACTGAGATCAATAGCTTTTATTCTCCACATGTGTCAGGAAGCCGTCATGCACAAAGGGATTGAGGGAGTGTGCTTGTTGCTCGGGCTGTAGTCATCACTGACAGAGAGGGTAAATATGGTGTCCCACTGCTCCGATTTAAGCATAGATATGCTTTTGTCCGGAAGGGCTCATCTGTCATGTTAACTTAAGTCAAGTCAAATCACGCCGAGCCACGCCAAGTCAGCCTGTCAAGTCCTGTCAGGTTTACGTGTGCATCTTTGATTGCATTTCTCAACAGCCAAAGTTTCACATCAACTTTTCTTACCTCTCTCTCACGCTCGGTCTTGGTCAGGTTGATCTGTTTAAGCATCTGCGACCGTTGTTCCATCACCAGAGTCTTCTCATAAGTGTAGGCCGAGATGTCGCTGTCATGCTAGGAGGAGAGAAATGGACTCTTTAATTTTCTTCTGCTATGTATTGTTTTCTCTTCCTGATGACTCCTCTGTTGACCAGGAGCTGTATTAGATGTGCTCCAATATGTCTTAACCCATGTAATAACTTGAACCAACTGAAATGATCAGGCTGAAATTGGCTACACATATATATTGGTATTGACAGATATGGCTGATATTAAGCATTTGATGCAGAAAACAGGGGTTGTTGTTGATTTGGAAACAAAGTCATTGTGTAGTATGTTGAGAGCTTGCTTTGATTCCTTGACACAGAATCAACGCTGTCTGTAGCACATTAAGTTTTTTCATCCAAGTCTAGCAGAAGTTGGTCGGCATTAGGATGGTTTACACTGTGCAAAAATGTAAATTATTCTTTATTTAAGTAATATGTTAAAAATCCTCCAGACCACATTTGACCACAGATACTGGTGCACCAAGAAAGGTGTGTTTTCATTTCAGATCAAAGCTTCATTATAATGGTAACTGGTAAACCTTTCCTCTCTAAAAATCAGTGTAGATGTCCCATAATGCTCTGAATGTTTCCACATTTTAGCCATAAACTAGGTGAAGTCAGAGGTAATCTTTGAACCGTGTCTTAAACTTGAGGGCAGGGTAATCATTCATGAGAAACGCCTTTTGTGTAGAACAACCAGTGATATGTCCTCTAATACTTTAACCAGCTGAGCGCTTTATGTTATTATAAATCTATACAGATATTTAGAAGACGGTATGTTCTTTAGATTATTCACCATTTCTACAACTTCCACCATGGCGTCGATACGGAGGTGATAGAGGAATGTGGTCAGGTCCTTTTTCATCTGGATGCTGTTGTCGTCCAACTGGGCCACGGTGAAGATGCGCATCTTGCACTTCCTCCACACCTTAACAGCAAACACAACAGCATTATCATACCAACATGGCGCCATTGGTCTGGGACTTGCTGATGTAGCTTTTTAGCATAGGTAAATATTTTATATAAAGTAATATGCATGGGTAAATCTACCTGTCTGCTTGATCAGAACTATAGAGACATTACACACATTCTACTGGATTGAATCATTTTAAGCTGCTTGATATTAAAACTGACAAATGAACTCAAATAAAATGAATCTTCTTCGAAAAACATTACAAGGAATATCATTAGAGATTAACAGAAAAGGACTGATATCAACACTTTTTAATCGAGTGTATATTTGACCTGAATCTTGGCTGTTCATGTTTCTATACTTTGTTCTATACTTGCACATTTTCCATTGTTTTGTCTTTCGGTTTAGTAATACCGCTTCCACAGTACCTTGTGCTGTCGGAGAAGGAAGGGCAGCAGCATCAGCATGCCTCCATCATGCACAATCCACCACACGTCAATGTGACCCTCAGTGAAGCGCTCGCCATTAGACGGGAAGGCTGAGATGTTCTTTGGTACGAGCATAGCCAAGTGAGCAGCTGTGGTTTCTCTGACCAACTCTGCAGAAGGGACACACAAAGTTTTAGAAACTGTCTTCATTGCTTTGAATTTCATTTCCTAAATGACATGAATTGGCTGTTGTATGTCTGCATGTATGGTCTGAACTGGTTTGAGTTTTTGTTCATGCATCTACAGTATTTCTAAGACTTGTTTGTTTCTTGTGTAGCTTATGAACTGTCCTTTCACTTTTCACAGAGAGGATAAACAGCAGGATGAGTGGCTCGGAGGCTGCAGCTTGTTGGGATTTTGTCTTTTTGAGATGCTTCAGCAGAACATATGCTGAACATAAAAAAAGCTTGAAAGTCCAAATATAAGTGCATCACTTTAAAACACCACCACATAATCCTCCTAAGGCAGACGTCAGCATTTTTGCATTTCAATCTCTTTAAAAAAAAAAGAGATTGACTGTTTGCTTTCCCAACAACCCACCAATAAAGTTCCTCCAGGTCTGGTTCTCGTCTCCCTGCTTCCAGTTGCGTGGCCAGGAAACCAGCACAGCGTTATGTTTCAGGCCTCCCAGCCCACTGGCCTGGAGGAGGTGGGAAGTGGCATCACGTAAGTTTGAGGACACCGTCACTTGAGAGAAGCCCTTCACCTTCTCCGTCTCCATCAGTTTACGCAGCGCCTAGAGAGGCAAGACAGAAAAAAAAGTGTTAGCAACGAGCAGAGACGCACCAACAGCTAGCTTAGTGCTAGCCTGAGGATGACAGTTTGTTTTTCCTGTGAAGCTCACAAATGTAACATCCTAGAGTACCAAACTGTAGCAAAATATCAAACATTTCCAAACATCCACACAGCTGCGGTTTTATTCTGGTGTCAAAATGTTTTACATTTTTGACTCGACTTGCCGATTTGGAAATTTACCCTAATTTCTTTATTTACACTCCATGTTTGACATCATGCCCAGGCTTGTGGTGTAGATACTAAGATACATAAGTACATTTAATATGACATTAGTTTGGTGATATATACATATATATATATATATATATATATATATACACACATATATATTGAAAAATATATATATAACATTTTGGTTAACTGAAATGAAAATTAAAATGAGTCTATTTAATAGTCTCACCAACTGAGACTGTTAATCCTGATTACAAAACTTACAACAATTTTAATTAAAATTTTTATCTTTAATTTATTTCAACACATGCCAAGTCATTTGGGTGGATTTTAAATCCAAATACTGACACACATACTTCCTTTCTGGGTTTTTTTCTTGGATTTTTCATCTTTTGTAGGCCTACTTTAATTTAATATAATTTTAAACTTTATTTTTAAAGCTTGGTCCAATTTCCAACTTTGGACAGTGGACAAAGTTGGGAATTGTGAACAGAGAGGGGAATGACATGCTGGAAGGGAGCTACAGGTCGGATCCGAACCCGGGCCCTAACCACTAGGGAGTTTTTAATACACAGCACTTTATTGGCTCTTTTGTGTTTCGCCCTTGATTGATAATTTTCCCCAAAAAATTGAAACTGACACTATAAATTACAAAAACTTAACTAATAAAAACCAGTGATAGTAGAAATGTAAGATATTAAAAACTGCAGTAGAATTTCAAGCTCCCCACCTGCTCTGCACGCTGGCTCCGGTCGGAGTTCTCCAGGAAGGTTCCCTCCAGAGCTGTTCCCACGATTGTCAGGCCTTTTCCTGCCTTCAGCTGGTTGGTCAGAGAGAGCAGACGAGGTTGCTCCACATTCTGCTCTGAATCTGTACTGACCAGCACCAACAGCTGGGGTCTGAAGAGAGAGTTCAAAACAAAAATGAGCATGAAACAACAAAGGACAGAGAGAGCCATTAAGAATTAAATAAAGGATGAATGAAGAAAAAGACCCAAGAGATAAAGGGAAGAGCTAAAGTTAGGACAGAGAGAGAGAATAATGCTCATCATTCCTTTTCATTCATTACAGTCTTTGACTGTGTGTGCCATACCTCCAGTTCTTGGTGTGAGGGGGACCTTCCTCCAGCCGCATGAGTGCGTAACGTGCAGCGCTCAGAGACAGACCTCGTATCCCATCACCCCACTCTTTCTCCGCACTGTGACACAAAAAAAACAATATTTGTCCAACAATAATTATTTTGCAACGTAAGACTAAATGTGAAAAACAAATCAAATTCCCGCCATGGAAGTAGGTTAAACTACATTAATACAACATGATTACTGATCTCGATAATGTTAAGTAAACATGTTGTCATTTAAATTTGTGCCAACCAAATCCCACAGAAATCTGTTTTGTTGATGTTTGCTGTCACATTGTAGCTGCAGAGCATTTAGAAGCTGTACCATGTACCATTAAAAGGTATACGTTAAAGTCAAGAAGCTTAGAAGACATTACTTTCACCTCAGGATTTTTTTTGCTGGTTTCACTTAATTTGCTGTGAGTGTGCTGAGTTTTCTGACCATTATTTCCAACTACAGCAAAGTTTAAATGACCTGCTCCAGCAAGATTTATGTCCCTATTACAGTCTCCTAATGCATACCTGATGCTAATGATGCAGTGAAATTAAGTTCTCTGCCTCTCCATGTATTTAACACTTTGCCGAGAGTGTTGTAGATCACTTTAAATGATAGACCTGTTTAGTCGTTATGGGTAACTTACCAATTTGAAGTTTTCTTATGACAACACATATCAACACGCTAAGGTTCAGTCGAGAAGCATTTATTCTAGATAAACCAGAAGCTTAATCAAGAGTACGTGACGAATATTTCACACTTATGGGAACTTCTTTACGACTTCTGTCGTGCAGCAATTTCAAATACTCGCTCCCTTTATCCTCAGGATCCCAAGCCCGATACAGAGTCCGACAGCCTCTCTACATATTTAGCTGAAGTTAATACTTAGTTAAATACTTAATACTTGGGTGCAATTTTTGCATCTTAAACAGAATCTGACAGCTCTGCTTAACCTGCAAAACATCCCTTGAAAGACACAAATCAACCTAAAACAGACACACACATATCCAAAATAAAATGATTGCAGTGTTTGAACAAACTGCCCTGTCATTGCTCTGTTTTTTATATTCTGTTTATATTTATGAGGATTTGACAAAAAATGTATTCCTACATGACAAATCCCACTGAAATGCCTGAATAAGAATGATTGATGTGTCAGTATAGAAGCAGGAAACTCTTAAACTACAGTCTAAACACGGACATTTATACACCCATACAAGTACACACACTTCAGCTAAAGCTAAAAGCAACCAGCGAATCCCATCTCTCCTGAGGTTGCGCTTCACTCACCCTGCAAACTCGATGTACTTGTAGATGGAGCCGGCAATTACCATGGCGACGATAGCGTAGTACCATGAGCAGAGGAACATTAGAGTGAGACACAAGCTCATCCCCAGGAATGACAGAGTCCTGTAGGGATGGACAGAGAGACAGAGGGATAGTAAGAATTTAAATTAAAAAAAGAAAATTCAGCTGTTGTTGCTCTCTGAAGGAACTGAACCATGGAGTTAGATCAGTCTCAATATTCATGAATGCACACAGAAATTTATTTTGTGATTTATATATAAAATGACTCTATCTACAAAAATATTTTTTAATGCACATGCAAATATTTATCATTGATATAAATGTAAAACATAAAACCACACATAAAAAATAACAAATGTATTTCTGATCTACATACAAATATGTATTATGAAATAGAAATCCACAAATATATGATATATATATATATATATATATATGTATATATATTTTTAAAAGTATTTGCAGTTTTCATCTAAAACACATTTGGATCTTGTTACATTTATATACGAAATGTTCAATCTGCATTTACAAACTGTTTGAGCATGTGATATTGAGACTGATCCAACTCCACACTGAACTGACCAGTGGTAAAACTTAAAGCGAGGTCTCCAGTTGGGAGTCCTCAGCAAGGTCTGCAGGGCACAGGCCAGGTTTACAAACATGTAGCACATCAGGAAGAACCTGCAGGACACACAAAAACAGAGACTACGTTTAAAACAAAGTGCATTTAAAGGATGGTGTGTGCGCTCTTTATATCCATCACATTCTCTGGGATTTGAACATGTTATCAAAAGAAAAAAGCAGCTTGTTCCTCTGGGTCATGAGCTTAATCCTGAGCCCATAAAATTTGGCATTTGTATCTTTAAAGGAATTGCAGAGGATTGAGCTGCTTTGAAATATCCCTCTGCTGGTTCTTAAAAAAAGATGGCAGCAAATGAGAGGGTTTGTTTTCAGTTCTCACATTGAGAGGATGGGAGCCACAGCATCCAGGGAGGCAATGATGATACCTATCTCGCAGATACACGCTGTCAGCAGGAGGGACCATGTGGGCTCCCCATTTGCCTTTCCGTGACCAAAGATCTGTGGGAACAACACAGAACTATGTTTACACTACTGCTTTTTAGAAGCGTCTCTATGAAGTACTATTAATAAAAAAGGGTTAGAATGACAAACTAACCCGAAGGGCAGGCACAATGCTGTCCTTGGCAATGGCCTGCAGGAGACGAGGAGCTCCCGTCAGACTCTGAAGCCCCGCCCCACAGGTGGAGAAGAAGGAGCCAATCACGATCACCCATGGTGACGGCCAAGCCAATGTGCCAATCACCAAATTCCCGTGGACTCCTTCTCCAAATCTGAAGGAGAGGAAGAAATGGCGTTAATCTCAAGCATCCTGGGAGGAGTACTTTATTAAAGAAGGATGTACTTACTTGTCCCTGAGGACCACACCCTCGATGCAGGCACCAAACAGAACCACACTGGACATATCTGAGCAGTTATGGATCAGGAAAGTAAAATTGTGTTGTATGGTTTAAAAAGGCTGATAGCTGCTGTTTGTTCAGCATGGATGCTCGGTCAGACGAGCTCCGTTCAGTGATTGACAAAACTTGATTACCAAAATCATGAACCTTTCCTTTCAGAGATGCACTTAATGATCTGATAAACTAATCAAGCACACTCACAGAGGAAAGAAGCCCATTGATTTTGTTTAGGATAATATCTCAGAGATCAATGGCATTGGAACTAATCCGTCTGCTTTATTAAGTTGTGATTGCATCGGCAGCCCGATGATGCGATTAGACGTCCTAATCAAATTTGTTTAGAGCACAAGCTGATTACTCGGAGATATATGGACGACGTTCAAGATCGCTGCAGTTAGAGGCCTTCCATAACGTCTGCCAACAGTATGATCAACTTGTACATGTGTGGAAGCAAAAATCAGGTTTCTATTGATCATCGTGTATTCTTAATTCTGAACCAATACAAATAAAAATGTAATTATTCTCAACATACTGTAAGAATGTTGCAGAGGCAGGAAAATAAACATCACACCAATTTTCCTGTGCTCAGAAATCGGTAGTTTTACATTCCTTTCATACCAACCTTGCATCTTGAACATCTGTTGAATATTTTTCTAGAGATTATTTGAAGAGAAACGTTTGTCTTGAGGGGAGGAGAAAGAGCAGATGCCATTAATCTGTTATATGCTGCACCAGAGGGGCTACCTGCAACTGTTCTGTTCAAACATATATCATCAAAAAATGTGATGTGGCATAAATACCCCTTGTCACAATGAGGATCATAGAGATGCAGTAACAGCCTTTTACATTTTAAATAAAGGTGACCTTTAAATATGGTCCTCTGTACAGGCCAATCAGTGTGTTTGTTGCAGATGAAGGCAGCATGGTACTTTACCTCTTTAAGCTCTCCTCTTTGTACCACTCTAATCAAAAACTTGAAGATGACTAGTGTGACAAGTTAATGACTGAATGACTGAAAATGTTGTATCATTTAAAATGTTATAATTTTTGTTAAAACTTTTTTTTCCTTTTCTGTACAGTGTCTCCTGTTATCCTGCAGGGGGCAGTAGTGTAAGGATACAGACAATGGAGGTGGTGGTGATGGCTGCAATGGTTCCAATGGGGATCGACTTCTGGGCATCACGCAGGTCTCCCGATCGGTTGGAGCCGGCCATGATCCCTGAACAGATAGACAGGAAGCAGAATGAGATCAAGGTCAGGACATGAGATGAACACAAACAAACACAGGGCGGGCTCGTGGGATCCCTTTACATGCAAAGCACATGTTCAGAGGACGTTTACAACACAACCTTTAACCCTCCTGAATTTGAAATAACAATAATCACAACAGCAAAAAATAATTCAACAATCAAGACTTTCACCTGTCACAGAGGGGAAGTAGATGCCGACCAGCAGAGTGAAGAAGCTGGTGATGTCGGCCAACACATAGCGGTTTGCGCTGGTCAAAGGATCATCAGCATCTTCCACTGACTCCATGTTGGTTCTGGCAACCAGATCCCCCTTCTCATAGTAGGTCCCAAACAGGTTCTCTGAAAGGGTAAACGGGACGTTAGACAGAATACAGTTGAGATAATTGGGTGAATATTTCAAGAAGAGTCAAAATAAATGTAAGAATGCCTGTTTTATATGAGTAAACTAATCAATCATACTTTCTTATAAATGCATTTTGTAGGAATTGTGATATACGGCTCAGTTTTAGGCTCTGGTCTTACAGCACCAGAGGGCTTCAGATAACTTTGGTTTTATAGTTTTATGAATCAAAAAAACTTGACCAAGTAATAAAGGACCCTTGAGAGACGAAGAAAAAACTCTATGAGGGAATTATTTAGATTTAAAATATAAAATACACATTTAGTTCTGCATTCTGCCTCTTTGATAGAACACTGACAATCATTTTGCTCTATGTGGCTGCTTTTAGACATCTGAATCTGAATTGTTTTATATGAGTACAACATTAACCATAGGCTTCGATTCAAATCATGGATCTTAACACAGGGCTCACTGTTAGCGCTGTAATAGAAACAAAGTTAAGCTAGCTCTGTTCCTCTTGGCCAAATGTGTCAGAGAGTCTGAAGATCACACACACAGGTGCTGCTACAGTCAGGGCGCTGTCTGTGCTTTCCACGGCTTTGTCTCCTTAGAACCCCTTTGTAACATTTCACTTAAGCCCTCCCTTTGCACTAAACAAAATGTTTGCTTTCAAGTGGTGTGTTTGCCAACACCACTTGCATAAAACACAAACACGTCTGTGTACTGTACATCCATATTTGTATCCATACAGTACAAGATCCAGACCAGAAGAACCAACCTGCTAGGATTCCACTGGTGACCCCCGGGATGCCCTGGATCTGAGACACATTGTTGGCAGCAAAGTACTTGTCGCAGGTAGCGTTGAGGAAAGGTGAGTCACAGAAAATGCGCCACATCTGGGTGGTGACTGTCCCGTTAGCTGTCTCAATGGTCTTGGCACACACATCAAAATTCTTCGACAATAAGGTGCGGTTGCCTAAGAGACACACACTGGAGAGAAAGTAAGCAGAAAATGTCTGTCAGAGCTTCGTTTGAGTGTCTGGCATGTGCTTACTACGAGTACTTTGATAACAATTCAGCATGTTAAATCTCAAAATGCCTCACACTGACAGCACGGTGTGTTGATTCCATTCAAGTTGATTCATTCGGTCCAGTAATACAATAACAGCTTGACAAATGGAAGTATTGTCAGTCACTAAACTGATTAAGTAAGCATAGCATAAACACTTAGGCACTTAAATGTAATAACTTTTTTTCAATTCCAAACTTTTGTCTCAAACAATATGATCCACCACGGAGAAGTGATGTGGGGATTTCTGCAGGTCCAGACATGAAGGTTTAAAATGTCTTTTAATATCTTACATCTCAATTACAACCCTTTCAGAGTCAACCATTTCTGTATAACTCTCTGTCTGATATAATGTGTTTTGTTGTTGTTGTCCTGTATTAGAGGAGAGGGGTTTGGTCTGTTGGACTCATGTTGGACTCTTAGGTCATCGCTGCTTACGGGAAAACTGGAGGATCGACTGCTGTCTTGATGACCCCGGCGTAGACGGCCAGAATGGAGAGGATGACGCAGGCCAGGAAGACCAGGGCCAGCTTGTTGACGTACTTCACGCCCACAAACACCACCGTGGCCATGGAGAACAGTAGGATGGTCCCGTACACACGCATGTTGTTCAGCAGGGCGGCCTCTGCCTCTGCACCCTCCAGACCCTCCAGGGGGAAGATAGCTGCTTTTGGCACTATGTAGATCTAAAGAAGAGGGGTTATGTTAGTATTTTATATATATAGATATCTATATATCTATATCTATATATATATATCTAGGGAGAACACCTGTATTTTCTCATAAAAGATCCATACACTCTTCCATTGCTCTTGGGTATGTTCATGTCAGGTGTTTAGGGAGCATTACTCATCCTCTTTCCCTTTTCATATTTCCCCAGTCTGTCTTGGGATTCAAACCAGCAGATTGCAGGTCACAAGCCTAACCCCTCTAGCTCATTGTTTACTGGTGGATTTAATAAATTTCACCATGTGTAAAAAAAAAAGAAAAAAAAAGAAAGAAGAAGAAATACAATAAAAGGGAGGTGAGAAAGGCGTGAGGCGAGTGAGGAGGACAACTCTGTGAAGTGTGAAATCATGCGATGCTCACATTAACAGTCCTCTGCTGGAGCTTAAAGCCGCACACATAACACTGCTCTTCTATTTTAATTCAGCTTAATTAAAGAACTCAAGCATGGTATTAAAATATGCAAAATGAACTGCCATTATTACACTTTTACTACAGGTCACTCTAAGAATAGTCCCATCATATAAAAGACGGTAAACCCCTCATTAGCCTGTCAGTATCTGTCATCAGCTTCAGATGAATCATGGCGTAGCGGTTACATAAGCATGGGAATTTCTTCATTTTGCACATTATCACTTGGTTTCTACTTAAATTACCATAAAGAGGGAATAAAACGGAGAAGAACGAGCGGGAAGTCATGGCTCATTTGGGTCATCTGGCTGCAGAAACTGATCCGCTGCTAAGAACAGCGTATCACTAGGCAAACAAATCTCCTGCTTCCCTGTGAACTGTTCATGCTGCCTAAAATAGCAGCATCAGTTTGTGTTCTTGGCTGTGGTGGAAGGATGAAACATATTCAAATCAGCCTTTTCCAGATCCGCTCCTTACACAATTCTGCAGGGATTGTTATTTTACAATGGAAACTAAGCCAGCATTGACCCAGAAGACAGAATTAACCTCCAGGCATGATCAAACCCTGCATATCCATTAGAGGCATCCAGAAGCAGAAGAAGAATTATTTAAAAAAAATAAAAAATAAAAAAAAACACCCAACACTCTCTGGTTTGTTGATAACAGTGGACCGGAGTGATGAGAGCTGTTTCAAGGAATGGTCTTGTTCTTCCGCCAGTGTCTTGATAGCTCACTAATGCAGTATTTGCATAATTACCCAATAGTCCATGCAGCGTGGAGGACTGCAGTGGAGGAAATTGTGGAATATAAGACAGGAGGAGGAGGAGGAGGAGGAGGAGGAGGAGGAGGACGGCGAAGAGAGGAATGAAGATGGAGATGAAAGATTCCTGCATTTCATCAACGGATCAGATTTCACGTTGAAAAACGCAAGATGTTGGGAAAAAAATAGCTTCAAAGTGAAACAAGAAGAAAAATAAACCCGAAGAAGAAGAATAAACCTTTGTTCACAAAGGCATGAAGAACATGAAGCTGCTCTGCACGCATTAATTTCTTTTGCTTTGGGGGGACAGGAGTTTTTTCTTTTCATGTTTGCCAATCATCACCATCATCAGTGTCTGCAGAACTCAAAACCATCATGGAGTGATGTCAAACCTCTTTCTTATGACAGTATGTTCATTTTAACTGGATGGATGTGATAATGACTGAATGAACATCTTTACTGCTCCAAGGGGAATTCTCACTGCACCCAGAGTATTAAGACAAAAGACGAGAACGACCGTACATGACAGCACATAACAAACATGAAACACAAATCATTAAAAAATAATACATCAACAATCAAATCAAATCTGGTTTTGGATGAATAGCTTACTCACCCCTAATATCACACTCTATTGGACTATTAGCCTGTGCCTTGCAGCATTTATAAAACGTATTTCATAGGTCACGTCTATTGGTAAAACCTTTATTCATATTTTAAAAGAGAGTGGTTAAGATCTTATTTATTCATAACGTCCTGATCCTCCTCCTCTTGGTCACACTGACACTGAGAGGTTGGTGCAGTTGGACCTAAAGTTCTCTTTGTAGACAGACTAGGGACCCACATTAGTGTTAAAACATGGAAAAAGTGTATTTAGCAGAATATTAGACCTTTAACTCAGGGATATGTTCTCTACTACCACCAGTTTTGAGTCTTTTGTGTAAGGCATTACCAACAAACTACTTCTTCCTCGGCTTACATCATCAGTCTGTTATGTTTTGGTCTAAATATGCACACTCAGAAAAGGAAAACAGCTAACATCAACACACAATGCCAGATTGGAAAATGAAGAAGAAAAGAGGCTATTCGGCCTGAATATCATAATGGGCCGGGTTTCCCCCAGCAAAATAAATTATAATACCAATGGCACCTTTGTCTGGTTAAAGAGAAGGAAATAAAAGAATAACAAAAGGTGCTCAACATTCTCTGTAGACATCAGTGTTTGGTTTCTGAAAGCATCTGTGCTTCTGGTTATGTTTGGCTCCTTGCCTCTTTTCATTGAACCACTTCCAATATTGGCACCACTTTATTCTTGGACCAGAGCAACACGGAACCAAATCTTTTATGTTTTACCCACATCATTTCATCCGAGGGGTCATATTCCATCGCTGCAAAGCTGCACTTACTGCACAATGGCATATCCTTCCTCTTGAGAGAAGCTGTGATGACAGTGTATGACTATGAAGAGTCACAAGTGTGATGTTGCAGAGGGAGGGACAAGCTGTGATTCAAGTGGTCATCCTCTACTAACCTGGCAAAGCTAAGCCATCATTATCACTTTCCCTCATTGTGGTTTAGAAGCGCCATGGCTGGATTAACTTGAAATTGATGTCATGTCAAGTAGGCGGCACAAAAAGAGACATTTGACAGCTCTTTCCTTCTCCCGCATTAACATGAACCTACTCACTGGGCTGTCACTGATATGTGCGTCTAATTTTTACAGTCTGAGAAAACATGGCAGGTGTTACTGAAAATGCTGTCAAAATTTTCAACCATTATTAAGTCAGTCTCAGAATAAATCTGGGTTAAGAATTAGGTCACGCACCTGCAGAGAAATGTGCTATTTTATATCTAAAATGACTCATTTTCAGATGTGATAAAATGGCTGAAAACAGTGAGTCCCCTGATCATCAGAGGAGGCAAATGAGCAGAAATTCTAATTTGAAGTAAAGACACAAACAAAGTTAAGTAGAAGAACTGATTCAAGTAGGAGTCAAAAAGTAAAGGTTCTGAAATGTCCTACAGTACAACAGAAAATAGTATCCGTTGAAGGACATTTGTACAGCCTGTTACTGTGCTAAACGTTTTGATCATTGTGGCATATTTTGGAAACTTTTAAACTGAAATTATCCTGTTTTTTTTAAAGTTGATTATTTTGGCTGTAGCTTTAAATGTTGGCTGATTCATTTTCACACCGTCATTCTAAAAAGTAACCTTCACTAGTCTCTCTTTTCTTTGGTTTAGTTTCCCAATCACATTGGTTTCATCTGGTCCCTTACATTGTTTTCTTCATGTTTACGTCGCTCATGGCTGATTTTTACGTCAAAGAATAATATTTAACATACATGTGTATGTTTCTCCTGGTCTCTACTCTCTTCCAAGCAACATCTCATTAGTTTCAGTTTGCCTTCAGCTACAAAATCACAGAGTCAGCACACCCAGTGGGCTCAAACTGTAACTGTGGAAAACGTTTTGAAAATGACACCCTTAAAACCACGATGAAGCACAAAAAATGAGAGGGGATGTGAGGAGGGGATGTTTCTCACCAGGAGGAGCTCGATGGCCCCCAGGATGTACATCGCTCCAGCGAAGGTGGTCCCCAGATAGAAACAGATCCCCACTGCTCCCCCAAACTCTGGGCCAAGCGAGCGGGAAATCATGTAGTAGGAGCCTCCAGCTGTGCACATACACACACACACACACACACACACACACACACACACACACACACACACAAACACACACACACACACAATAATGTTAACACAAATACATACTGTATGTGGAGTTTGTATGTGGGTTCATTTATGATCAAAATGGATTAAAAAACTTGGTTGATGTGTAACTGCATGAAACACTCAATCAGCTTTCACTTTGGGAATGAGGTCACTTTCACTGGAAACTTCATAAGAATGAAATTCAACAGAAGGAAAAATGTCAACGTTGATGAATTATTAAAGGACTGTCATACCTGAAAGATATTTTAATTGATATTTATTTATTTTGGGGATTTTTATGCCTTTATTTGGAAACAGGACAGTGGATAGAGTCAGAAATCAGGGAATGACATGCAGGAAAGGAGCCACAGGTCGGATTCAAACCCAGGCCGCTCGCTTGGGGAACTTAAGCCTCAGTACACGGTGCGTGCAAACTAACCACAAGGCTATGGGTAACCCTTGATATTTATTTTGACTAGATTCACTTATAATAACATCACGTAAAAAAACAAAGTCATTGAACCAATCTACTTTTGTTTATGTAACTTTGCTTTTTACTGTTTTTGTTTTTATTCTTTTAATCACCATGTTTCACTTCACTGTTTGTGTTTCCAAACACTGTTCAAATGAGTTAACCAAACATAAATAGATCAACCTTAAACAGCACTTTGCAGCAGCGTAAGAAGCAGCTTCCAGTTATAACACAGACAGTTATAATTGGCGATCACTTGCACACTTCTCCACAAGCCTGTAATTTCTTCTGACCCCTGCTGTATGAAAACCAACTGCTAAGATGCAGGCCTCCATTACTGAGTGAAATGACATTATATAATATATATTTACTGCTTGATGTGTACAGGAATGTGTCTGCACACAGAGATTTGGCCGAGGTTTTATTTTGTGTAAACAACCTTGTGCGACGACAAAGTTAAAGTGCAAAAGATCCCAGACTAAAGCTTGAAATGTTTCTGGGGATTTCAAGCTGCGCTGCTTATAATGTGCCAAAAGCAATCAGTGAAAAGACAAAATTTAGAAGCGGGCAGACTCAAACAGTGATAACGGCATGGTGTCGGCGTCTGCTCACCCACCTGGCACTACTCCATTGGTAGCGATGGCACTCATCGAGATGGCAGTCAGCATGGTCTGCACAGAGAGGGAGGGGGGAACGACAGAGGAGAAGAAAACGGAAAATGAGTTAGTCATTTCTTTGAGAAGAAAAGAAAAGAGAGTGTACATGATTATTCTGACTTTATGAAACACGAGAGAAAGAGTTAAAGGATATCCAAAACTGATACAATTCAAGGGAGCATGAACGTCTTTCAAGTTTCATATCTGGGTATCAAAAAACAATCAAACAAGCACACAGATGAAACTTTTCAAGGCGCTAGAGAAACAACCAGAGCTTCAACAAAGTCATAGGATTCATCTTCAGTGATCCCTGAATAACAAGTATAATAGTTAAAGGTAGTTAACCTGCTGATAGTGCCTTAAGAATCAATCTCAGGTTGTTAAGTTTCAGATAAATCAGCACTAGAGCAGACTATGTAATCCTTACTATTCATTATGAGTATGGCAGAAGAAATACACTGAGCAGCATGATATATGAGTACAATAACTTTGCAATAGTATTTTTTTCTCTTTAATATATGATGTCATTTTTCTTTTAATTCACCAGTTACTTTAAGTGTGAAAGTCATGCAGATGTCATGGTGAAAGAACAGAGTCATGATTTAAAAAACTTAACACTTAAGCGTTGCAGTTGGTCTTCACTGTGCTATTTACATGTAATCTCATATTCCTGACAGTGCTCAAAGACTAATCTGCTGCTCGGTGAATGATAAACACGAGCCTCTTGACTTGGCTGGTGATGTTCATACTCACTCCAACATTCAGGCATGGTGCATCCCAGCAGCACCAGGACAAGGATCAACTGATTAAAACAGTCCACAATCTGTTCTGAACTTACTCATGGCTTGCCTCAAGCATCCAGGTGTGACAGCAGCCAATGTTTGTGCTTGCTTTCAGGCAGGTAATACACAGACTCTGCTTTCTCAGGGACCAGTATATGCTGTGCTTTGATAAAGGGCTACTCTTTTTATTTAAGGTTTATGTTTGGAACTTTTCATGCCTTTATTGTAAAGACAGGACAGTGGATAGAGTCAGAAATTGGGGATAGAGAGAGTGTGGGGAATGACATGTAGGGAAGGAGCGACAGGTCAGATTTGAACCCGGGCCGTCTGCTTGGAGGACTACAGCCTGCGTAGATGGGGCGAGCACGCTTACCACTAGGCTACCGGGGCACCAAAATGCTGCTCATTGATGTCAAAACATACTGACCGACTTTTCTTGCAGATTACAAATGTACTGTGATTAAAACTCTGCACATGTTCCTTTGATATTAAGCAGCATTAAAGTTCTAGCATGGCATGTTTGACATCAAACATCCTGCTGAGGGATTAATGCACATGATCACATTCACATATTAATGCTTCAACAATGAAGCCCTAACTTAAAAACAGCCGCCATTCAGTAAAAGTAGCTTCTTCTTTTCTGTCAGGCAGCAACTTTTTAAAAGTTTACTCTCCATATTTGATTCCCTTTAAGTGATGTCCATCATAACAGCATCAGGCCCAAGGTACATCAAATCAAAACAAGCTGTGACTGAGTTAACGTGAGGACAACATCAATTTACAGCAACGCTGGATGCTGCAGCTGACTGGTTGTTGATTAGATAAATAATAATGCCACCGGGGCTGTCAACAGCTGTCAGAGCACATCCAGACAGCCAATGACAACTGTGATGTAACAGCGGTATGCAGCGGGAGAAAAACACCAGGAGAAATGTGAGGGCATGCTAGAGTGGAGATCAGTGTTAGCCTGCAACACAAACATGCAGCCTTCACTGCCCTGCAGAGGGAGAGATACAGCCAGTGAGCGGAAGAGCGGGCCAGAGAAATACAAAAAGGAAGACGTGAGGAATACAGAGAGCGAGTGCGTGTGTGACAGACAGTATAAAGACAGCATTATGATTTCATCTTTCTTTCAAAGGCTATTGTTGAATTTCTGAGAGTCTTTTTGAGATTTTCTGCACATGAAAGAGAGAGACAGAAAGAGAAACCTGACAGGCTGGTCAAAATGTTGTGCCATCCTCTAAAGCAGCTTCTACTCTCTGTAACAACACAACCTCACAGCTGTAATGACATCATTTGCTCACTTTTCTTTTGCAATCACTTGCTAGTTTTCTTGTTTATTCATTGTTTTAATATTAAAAATGTAATGAATGTGGAGCACTTTTCTAGTCATTTGACTACTGAAAGTTTTTTTTACATCGCAGGTCACACCTTCCCCGTTCACACCACATTCACACACTGATGGAAGAGGCTGCTATGTAAAGTGTCCATCAACATCCATCAGTATTACTAATCCATTCATACACATTCACACGCCACTGACGCAACAATTCTGGGGTTCAGTGTCTTGCAGGAGGACACTTCGATGTGACTGCAGGAGCTGGGGACTGAACACCCGACCTTCCAGTTAAGAGACGTCTACCACTCTACCACTGAGCCATAGCCGCCCCAGGATTTTTAAATGGCTGTTATTGATGTTGCTTTAATCCATTTTGTTAACGCATTCACATTTAGAATTTTTTTTCCAGGGCATAATTATTTGTCTTGTGATACAAAAGACAAACGTTCTTCCTTGATAATGTTAACGTGTGTTATCTAAGGAAAAATGGCCATCTAATATTCCATGAGGTCCCATGTTTTGGGTGATTTCTTGGCACCATTTTTTGAACACATTTTTGTTATATTGTAAATGTTGTTAACAGTTGTTTTGCATTAATCTTGATCTCAGTGACAGGTTAACATTCATATTAAGCTGGGTAATTGGTTAATAATGTGGTAGTTCAGGGATCTAATCAGGAGGTCTCCCGGGGGCCTTGCTTTGGAGGATTTTCTCTGGCTCATCCATCTGGTAGGAGACCTCAGGGTAGACCCAGAACACGCTCGAGAGAGTTTATATCTCATCTGGTTTGGGACCACATCTGGATCCCACAGAAAGAGCTGATATGAGAGGGAGATCTGGACAAGCCTGCTTAGCCCCTTTACCACTATGACACTTTAAGCTGCTGAAAAAGGTGAAAATATGTAGTAAATAAACAAATAAATAAATAAAGACAAAGCACTTGATACATTAATCACACTTGCCATATCTGCAGACAAATCGTTGGCAGATTTGATTGAAGTCTAAAATATAGACTTTTGTATCATGATCAGAAATGCATTATGGTTTGGCTCTACATTGAATCCAATGGTTTAAAGGCTTCATTATTTTTAGATCCTTAATGCATATTGCTTTGTCTTGAGAGTGATGCACCATAGGAATACAACAATAGCTACATGACTACTTAAATGATTAACAGTTTTCATATAGTGTGTAAGAATATTTTTTCCTTTAACTGCCTCTCCTGAAAATTAAATCACAAAAAAGAGTCAAGTGATAAACATTACTTCTATTGAGGTTCCTCAGAGCAGCAAGAAAAACAAATAAAACGAGGACGGTGTAATGGAAGAATGTCTAGTAAGTCCCAGCCGGTTATGTTCGACTATCATTACGTCCGTCTCTGTGAAGACTCTAATGTGGTTATTGGCACCTGAGGGCCAGTGAACTGACGATCAGCAGTGAAGAATGAGTGGGACTCGGCTCCTCTCTCTAATCTGGTCATAATGAGGCCACAAGCTCTTCTCCCACCACAGCAGATAAGACAGTAATTGTTTAAGTGTTTTATCTGATGTGGGCAGCAGCCACGCAGAGGTACTCCGTCGCATACTGACTCACTGAATCACCGCACAACTGTACAGGACAGGCATCAGAGGATTTATATGAAGAATTACAGGAACAGTGAGAGGTGGCTGAAAGAGTGAACAGGAGAGGAATAACAAGGCTCTGGATTAACATTTATTAAAGGAATGATATGGTAAAATAACAGTTCAGTATGAAGAAGTCATCTTGATACCCTAACAGACACATTTTCTCCAGAAAATTAATTCAATTATTAACAAGGTAATCGATCAACCAGCTAAACTGAGGTTGTGTGAGAGTTTGGAGCTTGATTTCTTTTAACAATGTGTCCCTCCTCTTCTGTGAGTGTGCCTGGCTGACTGGCAAGCCCCTAGAGTAGTAGGCTAATGTAGCTCTTCCTCTTAAGAATAAAATGACATTCATTTGCATGGTTTCTTAAGATATCACTTAAAGATCGAGATCGTTTTTTCCCCGTAAATTTCTCTTAACATCCTGCTCATAAGCCTTACCTCAGCTGCTTCATGCTTTACATGAACTGCTGTAAGAATCTTCTGGTGACAATAATGACATTTCACACTTCAGCACATTTGGATTTATTTAGCCATCAAGGGTACTTGGCGCCCGAAAAAGTATGCTTACAACACTCATACTTTAGCTACACATATCAGGTATAGCTGGATTGAAATAAAGGCCACATTTTTTTAAAGGGCCAATATGAAACTCTGACTCCTAGTGTTTAAAATGAGTACTGCAGTCCAAATCCAAAATATTGAAAACAAATTAGGAGGCTTTTTAGGTCGGGTAGAATCAGTTATATCTGAACCAGTTTGCTTGCCGATTTTCTTTGTTGCAACACCTGTTGGTTTGCTGTCTGCCTGGAAAAACAATCGGCCATGTGGGGTGACATAAAATAGATAGATATAGTTAGGTCTTTTATGATTTAATTCAGGGGATATCTTACATATTGGACCTTTAACAAAAAAGACTTAGAATTACATTTGTAACTCTTGTAAACACTGAGAGAATTAACCAGAGTTGCAACAGAAACTCAAAGTCAGTCGGCCTGAGCGGTATGGGAAATGTATAGCTTTAGTTTAATTGAACTTATCTTGTTTCTAGATTTATCGTCTTTTTTAAGTTAACAAAGTCTAGAAGAAATTTTTTTGTCTGTAGCATGACAAGCTCCAGACAGGATGTAGTGGCATCTGTGACCTTTCAAACCCACTCTGTTCTCTCCGGTGAAGCAGCTAATTTCTCTTCGATCCTCTGGTCTGGTCCTGATGGACTGTCTGTCATTTTGTTTTGACTGGAGTGCCCCAAGTGCCGTGCCACCATTAGATCAGATGAAATCATATTGTTCCCCTTTGCCTATTCTTTGAGCAGTGTCCTACTTTATCTGTTCTGACTCCCCTGAAGTCACTGCAGTCAGGGAAATGATGAAGCGTTATCAATCAGCGGCTGTCACAAACACGGAGGATCTCTCCGGCAGGTTTGCAAAGTTTGCACAGATCTCAGAAGGTCACACTTTGATTTGCTGCAAATGTAAATGAACTTGATGTACTCTCTGGAGCAGATATCTCAAATAAAATGAACTCTTACTTTTTGTTCTTGCATTTTCCTCCCTGGCAAGATGATTGATGGCTAAAAAAGCCTTGTTAGTTCACCTGTGGACCTCATGTCTGATCAAACCTGTCTGATGGAGTAGTACCGGAGGCTCTAGTATTCTGCTGTAGTGGATGCAGTATGTGTAGTGTCTTTTTCCCACTGACCCAGAGCCTGTGGCCTCTTTTATTGTCCCAGTTTCCTGCAGGTAACCTAAAACTGTGGAAGATTTAGAGTTTGCATGATGAGAATATAGTTTGTTCTGTGGTATGCAAACATTATATTGCTCTATGAATGTTAGAGTCTGTGCCTGTACCTTCAAACTCACACGCAGCCTTATGCCCTGTGGCCTCCAAGCGTGCAAGCAGAAAACATCAGATAATGCTGCCTTGCTATCTGTCTATAAATATGAGAAACAACAGCAGCATCTTGAAATACCAGGTCCCATGTTCCTGTTATTGTGAATGCTAGCAGTGCTTTAATAATTGCTAAGCCATCTTTAATTATTTCTCAGCTCCAGGAATTGTTTGGTGCGATGAAGAAGCTAATTTGAACTTTTAAGAAAGGTCTGCTTGCTGTTACACACACGACGCTGAATATAAAGGACACTTTAGGTCTGTTTTTTCCGAAAGCTACAGAGAAACTCTGATGTGGCCTTTCATCGACCTCGCTGCTGAGCAGAAATTGGTTTTGACAGGAATGGCGTTTTGCGCTGCCCGGAGAGCGCGCTTCATTAGCATGCTTCATTACACAAATATTTTCTCAAGTACAACTTCATCAATTCTCATACAATGGTGAGGTGGAAGTCTATTTTCAGTGCGCTGTTTATCGCTTGAAATCCCGGCGGATGGTATACTGTGGAAGGCGAAAGTGTCAGACAAAGGAGAAGGAGGTGATTTTTACTTTTTAGACAGACATCAAGGTGAAAAACTGAGCTCCATAGGACGAGATGCAGCTGCTCTTTAGAGAAGGAGAGGTGGTAAAAAAAAAAGGACACAAATCAGATGATAGAGGTGAAAAGAGAAAGAAAGGGGAAAGAGAGGCAGAGGCAACAAAACAGAGGAGGAGAAGAAAGAGGAAAAAATGAGACAGTAAAATGAAAAAAAAAGGCTGGGAGAAATTGAGGAAGAAGCGAAAGAGATGAGAGTGAAAAATGAAAAGGGATGAGGGGAGAAAAGCATCTTTAGCATTTAAATGAGTAACGACAGAGGGCAGAGCACTCTTCGCCTCGCAGCATTTGGATTCAAGACCTGGAAGTAATGAGGAAGGCCAAACAACAGATGACTTTCCATCTAGAATATTAAATCTCATTTTATCTTGGTGACAAGCCTGCATTCGTTATCGGGGCTAAAAATACACACAAGCACCGCATGGTTGAATATATCTGCTCGGAGAACGGCGTCTGCGCTCATATTCAGCTTTTTTGACATGGTTGTGTGTATAATTTTATGGTTAATGGTATAATGTGTCACACGGAGGCTCTTTTCTCGTGTTAAAATGATTCCAAGAATGTGCAGCGGCTCGTTAATGTTCTGTCAAAATGCTGCGTGATGGAAGAATAACGGCGTACGTCCTCGACGGCTACAGATGTGTGCGTTGCTGTGATTGAGTGTCCAATGAAAAGCGCTCTGTCAGTGATATCCCATCATGCCTTCACGTGAATAAAACATATGAGGGGGTCTTGCTGTATATTATCTGGCTTTACAGCACTTCATGTCCTGTGGATTTCACTAAGGTAAGGGATCACTGCATGCATGTTTGTACACACACACACACACACACACACACACACACACACTCACACACACACACTCCTGCGGTGTGTATCTGGTAACCCCCTGGAGGGCAGGGTGGTTATGTGTTATGTAAGGAGCTCAGGAGGAGAGAGGTGGGGGTTTCTCACACACTGTTCACGCTCAGGCTTATCACCCCGGGGCTCTGCGATGAGCACGCAGGGACTGATAAGAAATACAAGTGTGTGTGTGTGTGTGTGTGTGTGTGTGTGTGTGTGTGTGTGTGTGTGTGTGTGTGTGTGTGTGTGTGTGTGTGTGTGTGCTGCAGTGTGAGAGGAACATAAATGTATTTTTAAAAGATTAAATATTCACCAGTGTGTGACATGCAAAGAGATTTTTGTGTGTGTGCAATCGTGCAACATTTAACATGCTCTGTGTTTGTGTGTTTGTGTGTGTGTGTGTGTGTGTGTGTGTGTGTGTGTGTGTGTGTGTGTGCGTGTGTGTGTGCGTGTGTGTGCGTGTGTGTGCGTGTGTGTGCGCGCGTGTGTGTGTGTGTTTGCTTGCATGCCTTCCTGTCAAACTGAGTCTGAACCAGCTTTTTTCTTCCAGGCTTTTTTATTTATTTATTTTTTTATTACACTGCACTTTTTTTGTACAAAACTGAGATCCATATATATGTAGATGCTTAAATGGAATCTCTTTTGAAAAAATAAAATAAACCAACTATAACAAAGCAGTATGTGTTTTTAACACCATGACATATGAGAAAAGAGGTCAAAATATCACACCGTATAATATTAAGGTACATCCAAAAATTTTGATGCACGATATGATCCGCATAACTATTTACAGTACAAAATAAATAACTATATTTCAGAGGTAATCATGAACATATTTCTCTGCAAAATGCATGTGAAACAATGCATGATGTACCTGTTTTTCAAAAGGGTAAAATAATCAATACAAAACACACTCCTTTCCCTCTCTTTAGAGCCCTCTCCACGCTGTCACACAGAAACATGATTGGGAAGCATATTGCCTGTGTGTCTGTGCAGGCAACTTTGCCATGGTTGGGATTTGAGGGGGTTGTTCTATAAATACCCTCAGAGCTAGAGGAGAATCTAGGCTGCACAAACACACAGACATGCCAACATACAGCCCTGATACAATGCACACTGCGAACCAGAGAACAGAAACACAACCCTGACAGGCTGCTAGACCGCACAGTGTGAGCTAAACTGTCCTGCACTATTACATAAGCATACCTAATAATAACTCCTGAATAGATAAGGTGTTGGGAAGCAGATTATATGTTTCCTGACAATCAAATGCATCAAACAAGTCAAACACAATCATCTTGTAACAGCCACTCAGATCGCTGACAGCAGCTGAGCAGTTCTTGTGGGATGCGGTCTTTTGTAATACGAGTCTCAAGGCCACAGCGGGCCGTCAGTCCCACACCAGAATCACGCTGACATATGACAGATCTGTAGCAACGATATTTATAGGAACAAGGGAAGTGTCATCACCTATTTCGTTCTCTTAACTGAACAGAAATGTGTTGTTAGAATAAAACTGAAAGACAGACTGATGACAGAGCAGCGACATCTTTTAAGCTAGTTCAGAGTTGAACCTTGTGTTTTTTGGAAGATAGCCTTCGTTGCTAATGTCACGGCGCTGTAGTTGCAGCAACATCACTCCTCAGCAGTGGTCAGAGTAATCAAATGGATTTAAAATAGATTAAAGTCAAACTTCCTCTCTTGAAGAGTTACCTTAACAATGTTATGTTAGGGTTTGCAGCAGGGTCAATACTACCATTAGAGTAAAAATAGTCATTATTTCTCAAAGGTAGTACGTGTCTGATAATCACATGCTGGCCACTTGTCGGACTGTAATAAATAATCTTTGTTGAGAATTGAAGCAACAACAACAGCTCGACTTTGGTTTATTCTTTGGGAAACTTCTGAGAATCGTGACCAATGCTGGAGTCAAGTTGTGCATTAGCTAATGGGTGATTCCTATAACCTATAGATTGCATGTTTTTGCAAAATACCCGTGCATTTGAAAGATATTTGAAAACATTTGAAAACAAAATCAACAAAGACATTTCAATACGAATGGATGCTCCTAAAACTGTCTCCAACAATCACCTACATTTAAAAGAACGGAGTAACAGTGTTGAAGTAAGTGACATGTTCCTTAATTAACATAAAAACAGACTCTGAAGTTGATCCTGATTTGATTGCACATATACCATCCTGTAGCTGCATATCCTTACCTGCAGATGAATATAGAACTGAACAAATACACAATTCACCCCTGTTTAAAGTATTTGATGGAACTACAGCACCCAGGCACCCTCACATTTCTTTAGATTAAAGTACATGGTATGTAATGTCCAATATTTTAAGATGTTGGCTCCACGTGGTTATGAAAGGACTTGAGACAGTGAACACAGTCAATCATAGAACAGCAGGGCCAGAGTCGAGCACAACCAGACTAATATTACTTTGAGTTTGCATTTGGATACACACATGCACACACACACACACACACACACACACACACACACACACACACACACACAATAATCTCAGAAGCTCCACAGATCCTTTATCCTCACTGTCCTCAGAGAACATTATAATAGTGAACAGCTGCTACCTTTTACTGCTGCACAGCTCATTACCTGTAAAGCTGCTCCCCGCTTTAAGGTCATTCTTCAATGACACTTTTAAAAATGCGTGCACGTCTGATTTCAGGTTGCACCAGGTCAACTAGCATACAAGTAGCAAGATAGCACACTCACTGTGGTACAGCACATGGTGACGATGACGAAGGTCCCAATAACACCTCCGATCCCCACCAGCCAGGTCATCCTGAGGAAGAGGATGACGCCGAAGATGTTCTGGATGCACGGCAGGTACACACCCATCAGGGTGCCGAGCTGGGGGGCCTGGGGGAGGAGGAGAGAAAGGAAACGTAAATCTTGGTGAGAAATCAGGGACTAAATGGTTAATGTTCAGGTCCTGATTGTAGCTTTCTTTTGCCTTATCCAGGTGGTAGAGGGTTAGGGTTTTTGTGACATAGATTAGTTTTTTTCCTTCTTATAATTTCGATTTAATCAAAATTAAATTCTGTTTATTTTATTTGTCTTACGCATTCAAAAGTACATTGCACAGTCAATGAAATGCATTTTGCCCGGACACCCAAGAGAGATTAAATCAAAATGTTTGCCATAATGTGCAGAAACTGAATGACTCCTGCTCACTTTAAGCATCTGTGTGAATCAATAAAAGTCAACCCAGCAGCCGTGCATGCTGGTAACCACAGCGTGCTCATTTTCTTAATAAATTGTCTTTTGTCTCTTTGGGTCAGAGAGAACAGACTGCAGATGGTCAGACTGCCATGAAGGCAAAACTTGTAGGACTTCACAGATTGTAACTTCCAAAGGCTCAATTTGTTATTGTAATACGGTGCTTTGGGTTATAATAGGCACTGTTACCGCAGCAATGCTTTGATTTATTTGAATTATTTGGCAAACACATATTTTAAATAGTTTCACTGTTGACTTCTTATTTATTATGTCACTTTTGCAGCTTAGCATGCACATTAAACTGCAACATCAAAAAGGCAGGGCACACGATAGACAAGCAGTTATGCTGTGCGCACCATGTACAGAGGCTATGGTTCTAGTCGCAGAGGCCATGGGTTAGAATCCAACCTTGACCCTTTGCTGCATCCTACAGTCTCTTATCCCAGCATTTCCTGTCTATCTCCAGCTGTCCTATCCAACAAGGGCAAAAATGACCCAAAAAAAGTCATAAAGGTTCCATCTTGGTGCTTTGAGGGAATCTTTTATTGATTTTTGAATCTAAAACTTTCAGATCAGTAAAGCAGGCAGGGGATCAGTCTGATATGTTTTTAATTTCTTTACAGGCTCCTTCTATTTTTGTTCTAATGGATTTGTTGGGGTTGGTTTGGCTGCAGTGCTGTCCCTGATGTGGATCATTGGACAAGCGAGAGCTGCCTTTCACGTCCTCACACAGCAAGAATCAGTGTCAAGGCCGTTCTACTGAAGGCAATCAGCGACACATTTTGTCTCATTTCAGATTGATTAAGAGGAGTTTTCTTTTCCTTGGCAGTTTTGACTATGTTGTTCAAGTGTGTGTCTGTGTTTTTATGCACCTATATGTTTGTGTACAGTAAATGTATGTGTGTGTGTGTGCACCAATGTAATGGCATGTACAGTACTCAACCTCAAGGACACATGCTGACCCGCTACATAATTGAGAAATAGTCATTCCCAGCTCAAGGACAACTTAGCAAGTGAAGGGTATTTATTGTGATATCCAGCATGGACACATTAAAACAAGTGAGATGTAAAAAGGATGAAACGGAAATGGCGAAGGAAGCAACAGGATCGTTTTTGCCTTCATATCAAAGCTATACACTTTGCTTTGTTCACAGTATGAATTATTAAAGATGGCACCACTGTGTCTCTGGTCCTGTGATATAAACGTAATGTCTCCTTGCTCACTATATACTGATTATCTTTATAGATGTATTTTCATTGAATGTGAGAATGGAAATGAAGTGAAAGTTTAAAAATATATTTTTTTAAATGGCAAATGTGTTTTATAAGGAAGTAAATGCATTCAAGGTTTTCATTAGACCTCACAATACCAACAATGTGTCCATAAATTTCAAAATAAAACTTTATTGTCCATTACCTCTGGACTTATACACAAGCTTGGTTTTTATATCTGCTGATTAAAGAAAGTTGAGGGTTATTCAATCTGTCAAATCTACAGGGCAGAAATGCCAGACTGTTTCAGGTCATTCAGAAAAAGTGACTATTTTCAAAAGAAGAATGAAAGTCTTCTTTGTTTTCTGTCCTGCATACATTCTGTATAAAAGACAGTTGGCCAATACTTCTCTGTCAGATTTTATAAACTCAATCATCCTTAGACCTCGACCTCAAGGTAGCACATTGGCGAGGCGGTGGTATTTTTAATTCATCTACTGTTTTAAAATGCATCACTAAAAAGGCTCTTAATAAATGTATTCAGTAAAACTTATTACATTTGCAGTGGATGGACATGAGATGAGAGAAAAAAAAAACAGCACTCGGAAGTGACAGCAGATGCTGAATTCATAAAGCAGCCTTTTAATCAAATCATCCTGACAAGTGGCTGACATCAAATGAATAATGTTGTTTGTGAAGCTACAATTTGTGATTTGTTTGGAGAGGTTTGCTCTCCAGCATTTATAATGAACTGTTTGCAGAGAGGAGAGGAGAGAGCCCAGGCAGGAGAGATGGAACGGAGACAGAGCAAGTCCAAACAGGTCCCGCAAATATAATTACCTTCTAATTTCCTTTAGATAAACAACAGAGCAAGAGCTCACACAAGGAACAGTAATTAGCGAGCTTATCACTTTGGAAACCCTCGAACGGCTTATGAACACGTCAAATCATATCAAATCACAGCGTATTATACAATCATGTTACATCGTATCGTATCATAACGCATCATATTATATCTTAGCAAATCATATCATGTGTTACAGGCACACATAACGCAGCACATGTTGTGTCACATCGTTGAGTGACATTAACACAATGTGATACTCAATATTACAGCATGACAAGCAGGCAACTCGATGTCTGTGAGAGAGCTTGTGACACCAAAAACGAAATATCAGGCAACATGCCGGAATGAGATGTGGGACATGCGCCACAGGTTGGATTTGAACCCTGGGCCACCCACTCAGGGGGCTATAGCCGCAGTGCAGGGGGCATGCGCACTAACCACTATGCTACCGGCTCCCCCATTCACAATCTTTTATCCTGATTCTAACTATCTGTACGTTTTCTAGTCTTACTTCTGACATCACACTCTATCATCTATCTGCACTGTTCACCATTATACCATTGGGACATGGTTATTGACTTCTACCTTCTCAGACTATTACTATAGGACAAGAAGATGAAATAGCCGAATGCTTTAAATGCTGTACCTTGGAACTTAAAGGTGCCTAGTGAAATGTTTATGTCAAATAAAGTCTGTCTTTAAGTTTGATATTATACTCCTACCTGCAGTTCATAAAGTCGAAGAGAACAAAAAAAAAGGTAGCATGCAAGATGTCAACAAAGACTTATTTATGCTGTAAATGTTCAACAGAATGTTGAGCGTATTATTATCATTATGATTTTTTTTTTTTGGGGGGGGTGGTTCATTAATTGAATGTGGGCTCTGCTAGTGCAAAAAACACCATCAGTGGAAACAGGCCCACTTTGTGGTTCAGTTGAGTGACAGTTTTAAATTTACCCCTTGACAATGTGTGTGTGTGTGTGTGTGTGTGTGTGTCTCCTCTGCAGAGCTGATATGTCAGCCACCACCTTGCCTCTTCTACATCTTAATCCTCACAGCAGGAAACCTCTCCACCTTCAGCCTCATTGGGTTTTAATCAAAGAAACACATCGCAGGCCTCCAAAGGTTTCAACAGCAGAGAACAAATGCCGTCCGTCTCTGTCACCTCCCCCTCTATATGATAATGATGTGCACAGTTTGCTATGCTAATCAGATTGTGACTCACAGTGACTGTGCCCTTCAGTGGATGGCTGAGAGGATTTTTCATCGTCTGCTTGTCAGGGGTCTTAATAAAGTTTTTTTTTCCTAATGCATGCTGAGACACTGACAAGGCTTTTAAATTACAAACCACATTTGAATCAGCAAAGAAATGTTTGCATTTAGTGGAATCATCTTGCTCCCAGATATCACAATGTGATGTGGCAGTTTAGGCTACTCGACAAATGTCATCACCGTCAGGTTGCACTTCCTCTCATTTTATTTTAAAATTCAAAGTTGCAACATGCATTTGTGCTTTTGCTGCCTTATTTCTTTCTAATCACGTTAAACAAGAGTATTTTCTTCTAATGGAAGATTGTAAAAACAGGATTAAGGATGTTGATTTATAGTTCGATGATGTCATTTTTTTTGCTTGTAATAGTCCTGTTGTTCATTCTTTATGTGAAATTGTTTTCATGCTGCTGTCTTGGTCAGGACTCGTAAAAGAGATTTCATGTTTCCATTCGAATGCTCCTTGTTAAATAAACATTTGATGAGAAAATAAAAAACACTTGCAGTGCGTGTCTGTTTTTAACTACGCTGTGTTCAAAATGAAGTGTGTATTTTTCAAGAGAATCTAAATGAGCCATGTTTAGATAAATGAACTTTAAGACAGTTAATTTGAAATAATAACAAATCATACTGATTAAAAAAGGCTTCACGGTTAGTCTTATTGCTCCTCAGCTCTTCTAAGATCTGTCCAAACATAATCATCCATCTTTCCCCCTATAAATCCATCTCTCTCCATGACTCCCAGAACACCCAGTAGCAAAAGCTGTAATTAAAAACACTCAGTTTCCACTGACATCTCCTTCAGGGATTTGGTGTGAATATGCGTCAACAGTCCGATGCTGCAGGTAGAAAGGTACGCCTAACATCAGCACTTTGCCGTTGGACTCTAAACTGCTGAAGCTGCACAAACGGCTCTGAGGTCAGTTTGTAATATTAAGTAAGTTATTAAAGAACCTGTAATCATGAACAGGATGTAGTGTACAAAAGCAGACAGAACACGTGGGGGGAACGAGTTCTTAAAGTCCTTTCAAGGTGAGCGACGATAATTAAAAAGGATTTCTAAAACTGCAATGACTTTGTTATGAAGACAAAAAAAGATGAACACATATTTTAGAGGATCTTTTATCAGCAGGATCCTTTGTGGTGTTTTGCTTCAAACGAGCAAAACAGAAAAAAGAGTTGTCTGAGAAATAGTTGCAATCAAGATACCAACTTCCTCGACTGTTGATTTTTATCAAAAACAGATAAGAAAGAAGTAAAGAAAAGGCTTTTTACACTTAAAAAGCGCACTGAGCTTACACTGCATGGTCCA